TCAATTTATAAATAACTTGAGACAACGGCAAAATGTAGAATCTGAAAACAATGTGATTCCTTCATGATCACTAATTCAACAAATCCAACGCTATCATATTGCTTCGATAATTATAAAATTAAATAGATAGAACGGAGTTAATATTTTTGCGTGTAATTATTCTATCAATTCTATAATTTGTTATGTATCATAAAGGCTATTTTAATAATTTTTATATAACTAATTTAGATGTCATTAAATCTACTAAATTAAAATAACTAATCGTAAAACGTATATATGTATTCACTTTAACGTCGCTCAATGTGATCTAGTTGATGCATATGATAGGATGTTGTTTTTTGCATTTTTAGCATATTTCATTAACACAAATATTCTGAAGTACTATGCATGTATCCGAAAAATTTTAATTGTGATCGAGAAAATTTCGATATCATTTTTTTCTAATAATTGTTAAAAATATTTTAACACAAAATAAATGAACAATTATAATATCTTGAATAAAAATGGATAGTAATGTCTATTTATATTATAAAATCTATTGTACCAAAACTTATGATGTTCAATTTGTAATATTTTTATAATAAAATTTGCCACTTTAATTGTCTTAAAAAATGTCTATTCTCTTAAATAATTTAGAATTTTGTACATATAAATATAAAATTATGATACTTCAAAAACCGTAAAAGAAACTTGATACTTACAATTAGTTATTCAGGTAGGGCGAGACTCGAGCGATCAGAATTATATTGCAACAAATTTTATCTGACTTTAATTATCAATGTGTTTTAATTAAATTATTCTTAATTTGTGTACTTTGAAATTTGAACTAAGCAAAAATTACTACAGTAATTCTTTATTAATAAGAAAAGTAATATTGTTAAATGCATTCTGATAGATTCAATGAAAGTATTGAAGAAATTACTAAATGCAAAAATTTCGAGCACCAAGAAATCTTTGTGTCTCACGAAGTTTCGTATTAGAAGGTAAGATTTCAATGTTGAATTACGACCTGTTACTTTTGAAATATTATTCAGAGATCATAATAAATAAGAACATGTAAAGTGCATAATTTGGAGCTTATAAATAACTTGATGAGAGAACGACAAACTGAAGAATCTGAAAGCGATGTAGATCCTTTATGGTCACTAATGCAATAAATCAAACGCTATCATTTGACTCTGTCATATTTTGATTATTAGAACAATAAATATGTAGATTAAAACGTAATTAATCTAGATATTTTGCATGTAATCATTTACATAATTCATTATATGTTAGAAATACTATTTTAATAATTTTTATATCTTAATTTAGATGCCATAAAACATATTAAATTAAAATGACTAATCGTAAAACGTGTATATATCCACTTTAACGTCGCTCAATATGAATTATTTGATCCATATTGATGCTGTTTTCCGCATTTTTAGTATATCTAACACAATTAGTCTTAAGTTTTTATGCATTTATCTGTATAGATTTAACTAAACTGTGGTAATGTAATTTAAATAACGTTTATTTCCATTAAATATTAAAAAAATTTTGGAATATTTTACAATATAATTTAAATTAAATTATATAATTTTATATATAATAATTTATAAAATATTAAAACAGTAATTTATGTAATAATAAATTATAGTTCACAAATAATTATAAATAATTTAATTTAAATTTTAATAAAATATCTCAACAATTAAAATATTTTGAATATTTTGAAATTGATATTATATTATCAATTTATATTACAAATTTTTTTTGTGTCAAAGTTTTTATTTTTTAATGCTAAATATCTTTATAATTAAATATAATTCCATTTAATTTTTTAAATATCTATTCTTTTAAATGATTTAGAATTTTGTATTATATAAATATGTATGTGTACAACTGTCGCACATACATATAATAACAGCATAGACGCTATACATTTTTAATTAAATTTTTGGATAAATGCAAAATATGCGATGCTTGAAAAATTGTAAAAAAGTTTAATATTTAGAATTAGCTGTTTACCCAATGCGAGAATTAGAATGATATTATTACAAATTTTATTTTAGTTGTACTATTCATGTGTTTTAATTAAATTATCATTAATTTAAATACTTGGAAAATTTGAAGATTATAATAATAATTCGATGTCATTAATGGTTCTAACAATAAGGCTTTTCTTATTAAAAATAATGTTAAAAAGGTTTAATGTAGAGACTAAGAAATTTCCAAAATAATATATAATAATAAATAATTTTGTTTGTATTTTATTATTTTTATATATTATTTTTGTTTATATTGCGATCTCTCGAGCATTGAATAAATTGATGAAAAACAGCTACCACACATTTATGCGTACATGAAGAATGCTATATCATGTAATTATATCTTACCAAATAAAAGTTTCTAATAAAATAAACAGTATGTTTTTTCTGTATGTTTAATATTTATATATTATCAATATGTATACTTATTATAAAGTTAAAATTATTATAATAAATTTTTAAATAATAAATGGATTCTTAAAATTAATAATTAAGAAATTGTTTACTAATTTACTAAAAAATATAAAAAATTATAATAAAAAAACTTTTTTTTATAAATAATGCATTGACTTAATTTTTATTATAAGCACAAATTAATGTTTAAAAATAATTAGGTATAACAGGTTCTTCATGTTTGACTTTTCACATTTTGTACCAGAGATGAAAAATGTACATATTCCTTGATGCAGTTTGATGAGAGCAAATTTAAAATATATGACTTTTATATCTGCATCGCGCATAAATGACATAAAAGTCAACATTTTTATGAATTCCTTCGAAAAATAATAAGGGACATGGAAATTTCAGATTGTATAACATAAATTTACATATTTCATAAGTTTTCTTTGTTAATATTATTATTCTCGTATTTTAAATTATGCGAATTTATTTGAATTTCACCATAATCAACACAATATTCTTGTTTTATTGATAATGGTGTTTAAGAAGATAAAAAATCTGAATTTTTTTAGATATTATATAGATAATATATTAGATATATATATTTGCATTCAACATGCGCATTGTACTTATTTATTTTTAATTTTAGTAATTTTTGTTAATAAAGTTAGCACGAGTATTTATTTTATTCTAATCGTCATTTATTTAATCGTCATTACTTGTTGAATTATCGCAAATTCAAGTTTTCGTGCATCACAATTTATTTGAATTCAAAACAAGCGGCTACTTTTAGTAATGATCTGAATTGTCGGGTCGCCAGTGTTGAGTGTTACTGCCGTGTGTTTATATTTGCTGCTTTTCTACATTCTGTCGAAACGTGTAAAGGACACTCGTTAGAACTCTATCGGCTGTGGATGCTAGAAGAATCTGTAAAAAGCACTCGTTAGAACTCTGTTGGCTGTGGATGCTAGAAGAATTATCTCTACTGGAATTAATATGGCAAATGTTATTAAGAATAATGTTCAATCAAAGGAATTGGACATGCAACAAAAGACCTCTGAGGTGAGATTCCATTTGTTTGTATTCGATCATCACAGACTGCATTCTATTTATTAAGCTGATAATGAGCTTCGAACTTCCAAGCTTATTTCACGAGTGAATTAATGTGTTAAATTACATCAAGTGTTAAATCTCATACGTTCACGAATATTCCTGCAATTTTGTATTTTGCCTCTTATTTAACGTAAAATGAAAAAACGTATATGAATCTTTTAGAAAAAAGAGTAAACGAAGAAATCTCTGCCCGAAAAAGTAAAATCAGAACAAAACAAACTATACATGTATATACATATATATGTATATGTGATGTCACAAGTATAATTTTTTCAGTAATAATATCTGAAATACAATCACAAAATAATAAATATTAGACATTTTAATAAACAATTTCAAAAATTAATAAAAGGTGGATAGGTAACATAAAAGTATATGTTTATAATTTTCAAATCTTTTTTTTTTAATTATTTTATTATTACTTGCAATAAATATAATTTATTTGTCAAAAATATGGTTATATACAAAAATGTTTATAAAATAATTGCATCACATAAGATTTTTTAATGCGACGACAAAATATTATTTAAATATTATTTTTTGACAGGACGCTGAGAAATCGAATCACATAATGCTAAGATACTCGCAACTAGATATTCAGTTGAAACTCGTTACAAAAGATTTAAATTTAATGTAATAATGTGCTTTTAAAATTTATGCAATGATTTTAATTCTCGCGTATTTCAATTGATTCGCAATAATTTTTAATAAAACTTGACGAATACAAATTAAGTTTTTTTATGATATAATTATGTTCTCAATATTTTAAATTATAATTATAATAAAATGTATTCTTAAAGCGTTAACTTTCTTGATAGTCAATTATATATTTTGTTCAAAAATTAAAAATAAAAAAGAATTATCGTAAAAGAATATATCATTTAATATAATATAAAATAATGAAAAAATATATTAATTAAATTTTTGTTTTACAATTTATTTTTTCTTTAAATAACTCATAACTGACAATAACAATATCACAGTGAATTTAAAGTGTATGTGTGTATGCATTATATATATGTATATATACAATACACATTATATGTATGTATGTATTTTTAATATATAGATATGTAATAAAATATTTTCTTAAAATTATACAATTTGATAAAGAATTTCATGCATAATTAAAGATAACAGTATACTATAATTTGCATTCTATGACTTTCAGATTGCATTGTCCAAGGATCTATTTAATAAGCAATTTAATGCATTGGATAAAGTTTTGCAAGACGATCTGAATATTTAGACAAAGTAGACTATGATATATTTTATGGATCACAAAACTTGCAAAATGTATTGAAGAGAAACAATTTCAACAAGGAAATGAGAAGTTTGATACCGATTGTAATACGAATATCACCACAAGTGGAAAGTGTGAGAATATTTTCAACAAATTACAAGAAGGACAAAGCTCAAGTTCACAGAAAATCACGGAAGAAGAAAAGGTAACAAAGATATGTCGGAAAATTTGAACATAATATAGCACACACAAATACTGTCACGCAGCAAGATATTGAAGAAGATACATTGTCTAAGAAGGATGTAAAGAGTATCGAGTCTCTTCGTGAACAATTGGAACAAAATAAAGAAAAATTAAGAACTATAAAATCAACGCAACAAGAAATGACAACGAACGTAAAAGTGACTGACATCAAGAAGATCAATTCGTTAAGTATGAATGATTTGATTGCAAAGAACGATCTGATGAAACAAAACGCATATCTTCAGTTTATAGCAGTGAACGAGCAAAATGAGCTTAAGAAACTTCGTGCTCAACTTCAAATGCAGTACAACAGATCCAATATGCCAGATGAAAAATTGGAAATCACTACGTGCACAGATTTTTTACAGAAAACTAATATGATGAATAAGATTGTGGAGTTGAAAAACGAAATACTAAAACTTAAACTCAAGAATCAGCAGTACGTGAAGAAGATAGAAAAATTTTGCAACGAGGAGAATACAGACGTTAGACATCTAGAATATGATCCTGAAAATAGCAAGAATCAAAAAGCTAAATATGAGAAATATGAGTCTAACGTACAAATAAAGCTGATGAATAGAATATCAACGTTGTGTAAGGAAATTGAATGGTGGAAGCAACGATTTGAAAGAAATCAAGCTGCACTGATAACAATGACGAGCGAGAAACAGAAAGCAGAGACGGAGTTAATGGAATTTGTCAAAAAAGTGACCGAGCTTCAAAATATGTGCGACATATTCGAAAGAGAGAAGTTAAATTTGCTACTACAGATAAAGAATGAGATTAAAAAAGCGTCTGAGACGGAATCATTTAATGCTTTGTCACCGCAGAAGAGCATTCTTTATAAAGAGAATCAAATATCATCTGAAACAAATAGTGTAGCGTCGAACATACAAAACACCTTAAAAAATCAAGTTCCTGAAATTATTGCTAAAGGTTCTGACAAATACTATATTACATTACCATCAGTAATATGGCGACAAATAATAATGGAAGATGGAGATTATAATTACATTACACTGCCTACAATAAAGATCGCTAATACAGACAAAACAGTGAAATCACGAAAACAAGTAGATACAGATTCTAATAAAGATTCTCTAGAAGAATTGCTGACCGAGCTTGAAAACAAATTGAAAGAAAAACTAAATCAAGATTCTGTTAAAATAGCAGAATTGTCAAATGATCTGAAAACAAATGATAAATCAACCTTTGTGGAAGAGCCAGTGTCAGCTTCGATTAAAAACTTTAATAAAGATTGCATTACGTCACCATCAATTATGCGACAAATAGAAGAAGAAAATTGTGATTACATTATGCCGTTAATATCATCACCGAATATTGTCGATAAAGAATTGAACAAAGCAGTGGAATCACCGAAACAAGTAGATAAAGACTCCCACGAAGACTCTGTAACAGAATTATTAATGAATCTTGAAGACTACATAAATAAAATACAAGATAAAAATTTTGTTAAAATAATGAAGTTATTAGAAGATCTGAAAAAAATAATAAATCGATCAATGTAGAAAAAGAAGCTTCAATTTTAACTAAAGACTTTAATCAAGATTGCATTACATCAATAATGCGACAAACAGAAAAAGAAAATGATTATGACATTTCGTTATCATCCAATAAAGACGTACTGATGGAACCGTTGTCAGATTTTCAAAATAAGTTAAATAAGAAAATAAATAAAAATTTTGTTAAATTGATGGAGTTATTAGAAGATCTGAAAACAAATGTTAAATCGACCGTTGTAAAAAAGCAAGTTCCAGCCTTGAATGAAGATTTCGATAAAGACAGCATTACATCAATAGGACAAATGGAAGAAGAAAATTATGATTATAATTACATTACGCCACCATCAATATCGTCATCGAATACTGTTGACGAAGAATTAGAGAAAATAGATAAATTACCGATGATTAGATCGCTATCAGTAATGCGACAAATGGAAGAAAAAAATTATGATTATGATTACGCTTTGTTACCATCAATATCGCCATCGAATATCATCGATCAAAAATTGGACAAACCAGATAAATTATCGAGTACTACATCGTCATCAATAACGCGACAAATGGAAGAAGAAAATTATGATTATGATCACACTTCTATACCATCAATATCGCCTCCAAACGTCATCGATCAAGAATTGGACGCAGCAGATGAATTACCGAGTATTACATCGATATCAATAATGCGACAAATGCAAGAAGAAAATAATAATTGTTTTTACATTACGCCACCAATATCGCCAAGAATTATCGACAATAACGAATTGGACAAAGTTGAATCACCCAAACAAATAGATAAAGACTCCAATAAAGACGCTGTGACAGAACCGATAGAAGACGATACGGAGAAACTAAATAAAAGTGCTGTTAAAATAATAGAGTTATTAGAAAATTTAAAAGTAAATTATAAATCAACATCCTTAGAAGAGCAAGTTCCACCAACGTTGACTAAAGACTTCAATAAAGATTCCATTACATTGCCATCAATAGGACAAACAGAAGAAGAAAATTATAATTATGATTACATTAAGCCATTATCAATATCATCACCGAATATCGCCGATAAAGAATTGGACAAAGCAGTTGAATTATCGAAACAAGTAGATAGAAACTCAAGTAAAGACATTTCAACGAAATCGCTGACGGAGCTTGAAGACACAACGAATAAAATAATAAATAAAGAAATTACTGAAGTAACGGATTTATTAGAAGATTTAAAAACAAATGATAAGTCAATTATTGTCGAACAAAAAGAACAAGTTCAACAGAAAGATAAAGTAACGGATGGTGAGAAAAAAAATAAGAGAGATGATATGATTTTTATGAAAAATTTAATATTGTCACTTCCATTTTACGAGTTACCACTTTCTAATATTACCAAAGATCAGAGCATTGTAAAAACTGTGGACAGAGTAAGTCAAAGTCAATCGACTGCTGATTATCAATCATTCGACAATTGCAGTTTGTGTCAAAAATCATTTAATTATCATACATTTGAACAACGTGAGAAAAATCAGCTTGGCTCTAATGAGATAAATGCAAATATAAATGATAATCATACAAAATGTCAATATTGTAATTTAGCTGCAGATATTCTAATGATAAAATATAATGATACGATTGATCATGTAAACAACAAATTTCAAACTACTGAGAATAATAAAAATGAAGAGCACGGACATGTATCAAGCGAAGCTGTTGAAAAAGATCAAATCATAAATGTTATAGAAGAAAATGAAATCGAAGAAATTAAAATACAGATTCAAACGCAGTCAGTAATAAAAAATTACCTTACGCAAAAGATGTAATATTTGAAAACAATATCGAAGCCTTGGCTCAAAAAGAAATCTTGAACATAGAAAATACATCTAACGTTGCACCTAAAATTGATTATAAATTAAATAAAAGAATTGCTCAAAATAATAATTGGACTTTATATATGGAAACTGTATTTTGACTATTATTATTATTATATTATTCTGCGATATTATCAATATTTATCAGTGAAGATTATTTAGATAGCATAGATGATATTTCGTTGAAGATCTCATCAAAACTATATATGGACATCGGAGGATAATTACATCGAAGAAAATTTCATACATTAACATAAAGGTAAATTAAATTAAATTAATGATATTAAGAAATATAAATTTATACTTAAATAAGATAATAAAAATTAATAAACACAATTGCACATTAGATAATCAAATTTTAATTTAGTTTTATATTGTTTAAACTTTAAACTTTCCTTTATACTGCCTTTTTCATAACAATATACCTACATAATTAATACACGTTTAGCTTACATTTTTAGTCATTTTAAATAATTATATTTTATTAATCTTGCAAATCATATTTTTATTGTTGCAGAAATGGACAAAAGGAAAATGAAATAAATATATCGATAAAGACACGATTCCAACAACAAAAATGTAATATATGTATACGACATTTCAATCTGATCGTCTGAAATATCTTCGTTACTTCAATAGTGTAAAGGAATTATTGTGAAGAAACAAAAACTATGTTTGATACGAAAGAACGCATATTGACGTAACGGACTTTTAACTAATAACTCTTACTTTTACAATTACTTTTTTTAAGCAATTTGATTTTCGAAATTTAAAAATTATTGATGCGTATCTTATAATTTTCTTTTTATAAACTAATTCTCTAAAATTATTATTAAATTATAATGTATAAATTTTCATGCATGTAAAATAATAATGTCATTGAAAAATTATAAACAATTTACAAAATTTAATGATTTATATATTATTACATAATTATAAAATGTATGAAATATTTTATAAAATATGAAATATTTCATATTTTATAAAATATTTCATTCTCAATGACTTTATAAAAATACGAATTAATTTATATAAAGAAAATGTATATAATTATATTTACATAATAAGATATAATCACACTTTATTACAATAATTATACATGAATATAATTATCAACTAATTTTGTCATTAAAAATATTAAATATAAAACATTACAGATTACTTTGTAATATTTTATATTTGATATGCATGCTTAATTATGATAATTAATTAATACTAAAAAATTATTATTAAAATATTTCGAAAGCTGCATCTTTTAAAAGATTTTATTGACCACAATATTTGTTCTTTTGTATCAATTCTTTTTTGCTGATTTTTTCATTCAATCCAATAAATTCTTTCTTACTAATTTTTCCATTAAAAGCAAACAAATCTTTGCAGAAATGGTTATAACTGAAAATGAAATCGTGGTTGTTTTAATCGAATATTTATCATAATGACAGAGAAAGATGACAAAGATGACAGATACACTTTGCATATGTATGTAAACGTTTAAGAATTCCTAGAATAATTTAATGTCATTTTTTGTCAATAGTCCTCGAAATGGAGCGACTTTAAATTGCAGTTTTATTTCTCGATGTTCTTTCATTTTCAATAATTAATTTCTTCAAGCAGTTGTCAAAAGATCTTCATATCTGTCATTTATAGCTATATATATATATATATATATATATATATATATATGTATATGATACGCAGAATAATAATATATATTTTTATTTAGATTATTAATGTATTATAAAATTTTAGAGTATTAAATAAAAAATAAAATACACATAAAATAGAGACATAAAAATTATAATATCTTAATGACGAATTATATATGAAGAGTTACACAAATTTTTTCAACTATTTTTTTTTAATATTTTGATGTATAATTATTATTGAATTGTTTATGTATTAATCTGCATGAAAATGATATAATTATATTTTTGTAAATAATTGAAAAAATAAAGGCTTATAAATTTTTTTAGAACATAGAATATTAAGATTTTTCTTCGACAATTCCCCTAATGCTTGTCTATTAAATCACAATTTAATTAGAATATGAATCAGATTAGTCAAATTAATCTTTTTTTAAGAAATATATTTTGACGTTTCGTACAATAAAACTTGATTCACTCTTGACCTTCGCATAGTTAAATGTTTTACTTTAGTTTCTAAAATTAAATCAGCTGAACGAAAGTACATATTGTGTCCGATAAAATGTAATTTTTGAGTGCATATCTACTGATATATAATTCACATGGAAATATTAAATATATGTACGATAATATGTATTTAATCTTATCAAACTTTTTTTTACTTTTTCACGAATCTCGACGCAATTTCACTCAGAAATCAGCACAATGAAATGTGTTACACCATCGTACAATTATATATCAGATAATTTTTAATATTTAAAACTGGAAATTTGCAAGAGAAATTCATTAACTGGCACTCTAGCTTAATCATATGCAATACTTATCCGTTATTATTTGATCCAATCTATTTTTTAATACATAAATCTTCTTTAGAACAATGACTTCTAACATTATATAACTTGTAAAAAGTAGCAAAAATAGAAAATTGTAAGATTGCAAGAGACAAATGAAAACTTGAGATAAATTTACTAGAAAAGAATACAATAAAAATTAATTTAATTTTTGAGTAAAATAATTTTTTTAATTATTATACATAGGATTCTCTCTCTTTTAGTATATATATATATGTGTGTGTGTGTGTGTATGTGTGTGTGTGTGTATTGTTTTGCTTGTGTTTATTATAATATATGTGTACATATTGTGTATGTGTTAAACAATATTGGACCGAAATAAATTTGATTTTTGGTAATAAATATAACAAAGTTTTATTCGATTTTTCGATTAAGTATCAGTGTGATCGATTTGGTTGTCTTTGAATGAACGCATGTCAGTCCCGTTATCGTTTCCGAGTGGGTCACCGGCACCTCGCCAGGATTAACTCGCTGCCGTGCCGCACGTACATCGGACTTGTTCCGTGCACGGGCCGTTCTCACTAAGATTCTCTGGTGGGGTATACAGGGTCGGCTTGTTTTTGCAGCAAATTTCCTTCAATCTTTAAAATCTGAACAATATAATCTTTTTTTATAATAATCTTCTATTCCGTAATATAAAATTTAAGATTTTACACTATAATATTCAATTAAAATTAATATTTTTTAAATATTTATGTATTAAATATTACTTACAGTTTTATGATAAAAATACTAAATAAACGGTCAAATAAAATTCTTGTAAAATTATTTAATAATAGCTTTTCTAAATACAGTGTGAAATAAGAAATTAAGAAGACATTTAAGAAGTAAATCAAGAAGATTGTATTATATCTGCAGGTATTAAATATATGAAGGAAATAATGTACATTCATATTTTACGTTTTAATATAAAATACCTATGATAATTTAGAACATAAAAAATAAGTAAAAGAAAACTAGAATAATGATCCAAGAATAATGATCAATTTGTAACATTCTTTGAATAATCGTCTGTATGTTCTGTTATTATGAATTATATAATAAATTATATATAAAATGTTAAATTAAAAATATGCATATTTAAGAAATATACAACTTTTGTTTTTTTTTTCTAATATTGTACTTTATATGAGACAAAAGCAAGATTTATAAGGCCCGAACTCGGCCGGCCCTGGGGACCAGATGAAGTTTGAAAGTGCTCCGCGTGCTTGCCTTCGTCGAGCATGTCCATGCGCTATTAGTATCCGCGGAATCGAGTAACCTGCTGCACGTTTTTCATAGTCGATCATTTGCACTAACTTCATTAGCTTACAAACAAACAAGTTCTCTTCACGAGTTACACCGCGTTCTCCGGTCTGTCCATCGCTCCTGCGGAAGCTGTAAATCTCAAGATCACCATCGTGTTTTAGATTCTTCGTAATAATCAAAACTGGATCGAAGAAAATGAAAATCGCTGCAACATTATTCCTCTTCGTTGTCGTCGGTGAGTAATTTGTCTTTTATTTAAAGATTTACGTGGCTGATGATTTATTTATTTTGTAAAAAAGAATATGTTGCTTCATTTTCTCGTATTTTTATAAAATAGAATTAAAATATATAATTTTTAAGATAAGATTTCATTGAGTTTCAATATTTCTGTAAGAGTTTTAGCTATTTTAAAAAGTTTCAAATAATTTTTTTAACAATTTACATACTTCTTTATTTTGTTCTTATCTTGCAGTGTTTAAATTGTTATAATACAATTTTGATAATTGTGTGTCGATTCTAAGCTAAATTTAATAAAGAAATGTTTTATTAAATTATTATCACACACATAATTTACTTGTAATTTAAAACTTTTAAAACTATAAAGTTGCATTACTTTTAATGTATCCGTAAGATGCATCGGATTCACATAACTGATAGATGTGCAAGAGCATTTAAATATTATATTCAGTTATTTTACCGCGTTGTATTTTTTAATATCTATATATACATTGTTTCAAATTTGATTACATTTTTAATGATCATTTTTTATTAATCAAGCGATTGAACAGCAACATGCGTAATTAATTTTTAAAAATGTATATTTATTTATCAAATAAACGCGCGTAGTTTATGTTTATACATTTATGCACAATCGATTTTGCGACACAAACATTAGAGTTCTTATATCATGACAAAGTACAATAATCGCATTAAACGTCTCAATCATCTGATTATTGAAAAGAATGCAGATTTTCATTAAACATTTTCATTAATATTTGAAAGCATCGGTTTTCAAATTTCCTTATGCACGATCATATTTTAATAATACTAATATACAGTTTAAATATTATATCAATTGCATTTACATAAATATTAGAGTAAAATAATATTTTATTTGAAAGTAATTATTCTAAATTGTTATTTGAATATTTTTGTAACACAACATTAAATGTCAGTGACTTAGTATATTTAATAATATCATTTGATAAACATTTATATTTTTGCATTTCTCTACAAAAAATTGTCTATACAAAAAAAATTTACTCGTATTGAGTATAAGATCTTGCAAAAAGTATTTAATTTTTTTGAATTTTACTTAAGCTTTGACATTCTACTTTTTCATCAAATACAAATTAAAACCATCAATCCGCAACAGGATCGTATTTGGAAACCGATCGTAAAAACCGTTAACGTTTCTACTGGGCTATTGTAGGTTGCTGGGCCTTTCTCTTATTTTTTATTATTGCGCCTTGTATGAATCGCATAATTTTATTCTGTGCTATTGACTCAGACGTCTGTATCTCCCTAGACTTGACTGCACTATTCACGCTCGATCAATTAATCGGCGTATTTCTTTCTTACTTATACTAATAGCCTCGTTTCTATCCAGCAAGGAAGTTTCTCGCTCTACGACAAAGTGTACTTGTAAATATGGGTCTTTGTGCGCGGCGTATTAAGCAAGCATTACATGCCCCGCGGAAAACCCGTGTCATACTTACATACGTGAGTCGCGCAAAAATAATTTTCCGTAATTTCACGCTACTGTTTGCGATGATCTGAGCGTGACTGTGATGGTTACGCATCGTGAGAAGTAGCCGGACTTCTTGTGGGTCGATACTATAGTAGTACGTTGCACTCGATGCATCATCATGATACGTCAGAATCAGCACGCGAAGGGATGTTGAAAATTTGAACTCACTGTTACGGAAACTTCTTTTCGCCGCAACAAACTATGTATTTCTAATTAAGAGTATATTTTTTTAAAAAAATATGGTACAAGAAAAATTGTCTATACAAATAACATTTTTCTTTCTTATGATCTATCGGTCGATCAAAATATCTGTAAATAATAATTTTGTTGTACAATGTATTTATAATATGTAAAAAATAGATGTCTAAAATATTAAGCGCAATCTTATAATATTTCAAAAGCGCATGAAAATTTTCCTGACTAAATATGCGTGATATTGTAAATTATTTATCCATTTAATTTTTATAAAGCAAAAGGAAATCTCAAACTAATGTATATATTGTATATCAAACCTGTGTACATAAAATGTAAATAATAATGACAAATTTATAATTACTCATAGTGCTTTTATATACAATTAACAATGTTTTATTCTTTTTACATATATATTAAAGGCTCAATAATATCGTAAACTGTTCATTTTGCTATTTATATTATCATTTTATTCAATCAGATTTAATACATTGAAACTTGAGAGATAACTTTACGTAGTCGATAAATATCAATGATATAATGGTAGAACGATAGTATCTAAAAAATAACATTATGAGATTTAATTTGTGTACTATTTTTTACTTTTATATATTTTTGATTATATAAAAAGGTGTTATATATTATATATATATATATATATATATATATATATATATATATACATAATCTTTAGTATTAAACATATGAAATTACATGTTAGACAGTTAATATATAATTAATATACATATAATTCTCCAATAATATCTCTGTTTTCTAATAATAAGAACAAAAAAGAAATTAAATATAACAGGATTTGAATTCTTTAAAAAGCATAATATGATCAAATGTGTTTCAAAACATGTTCACGTAGTAAAACGTTCCTTACGCGAAAGATTGCGCGTAACAATAGACATAATGTGGGGATAATTATCATGTAAAGAAAAGTATAGCCATTGATCCGTTCATTGATGCAAGATAGAAAGTGCGTTGAAGATTAGGTGCGTTTGTCGCAGAATGTAGACTGGAAAAAATAGAGCAGGGCGTCGAGACGAAAGTACGCAATTTCAATTGCTGGACGATTGCGATTGAAAGTGATCTAAGTAAGAGAAAGGAGTTGCGTAGCTGTTTCGCTTCTACAACTATAACTGTATATTATTGATCGTTCTTATAAACAAGTAAAGAAAGAGAGAATGAGAGAATGAGAGAAAGAGAGAAAAACGTTTCGATCGAGGCTTTTAAGAAATCATGACTTGTACATCTTATTTGCATGTGCCACAAACCCGTCGTGTCATTGAAGATAACGCATAATATCGTTAAATTAAAGATGCGCGAAAGCTTTCTCCGCACGATCATCGGAAAAGTGGCTCCTTCGTATTTAGATTTTAAGGTGAACTGAAGAGAAGAGGATAAGTGTTTACCAGAATTCTTGCAGAATTTTCATAAAATGCGTATTTTTTTCTATTATGAAGTTTTATCTATTTTAAATTGTACATTAAAAAATATTTTGCATATTTTCAAGGAGCTTGTTAGGAGCAAAATATTATTTATTTTAAATATTAAAACAGTTATACTGTTACCTTCTATTTATATTTATAATTATCTACAATTTATCTAAACTATCTGAATTATTTATAATTTATATTAAATACTTTAAATATTAAATTTAATGAATGATTTTGAAAAACAACAATATTTATTTAATCGAAAATAATTTGGATTTCTTCGAAGAATAAACAGTTGCTTCTATCAATAATCTTTTTATTTTTTTACCAAGATTCACGAAATACATGTATTTAGCAAATTAGGTCAGCGTGTCTATATAAATGTCATGTATATACTTTCTAAACAGTTGCGTCAAACAATGTTGTTTGTGCCTATTGAACGTCAGTTATTTATTATACTTGTAACTGGAAAAAATAACATATAGAAAAAACATGATATATGTATACCATAAAATATTATCCAATGTGTTTTATGTAATAAAAATATACGATTTTCTCCTATCTCACACAATAAGAAACGTAATTATAAAGAATAAAGGCTATACTTTAGTATAAATGTATAGAAAGTAAAATGATCTACTTTCCTCTATTGAATCAATTATGCTTTGATCGATGATCGTGATCAACAGATCATTAAGTGCGCTTTAAAGAATTACTGAATATTAATTTTATTTTCAAAAATTACTAGTATTTGCAAGAAGAGAGATTTTAGTGTTACTTTCTAAATGTCGACCATATCGATTTTCTTCTTATTTTATCTAGAATCGGGATCCGTTTTTATAAGAGCGCAAAAATAATAGAGTACAACAATGCAGAAGTGGCTAGAGCAGTCAAGGTGAAGGCCAGCCTTGAGAAAGTATAATCGTACGTACAGTTAGTTGGTAGAATATTGTCTTTCGATGCGACGAGGAACTCGGTTAATCAAAGAAAAGTGAATATTGTTATGAGGAACCTAATAATTAAAGATTGTATATAATCGTGAGATTTGGTTACATCAGACATCTCTCAAAAGTGAGAAACAGTGAAAGTACACACGTGAATTGTACCATCAAATCAAAGGTCATCGTCATCATTTTGATTATTTATTACACGTAAGATGATACATAAGATATTCGAAATTCTACAAAAATATTAATTATTCATCTGAATTATTCTATATGCAGGATAGGATAGGAAATTTATGTTGTCGATGTTTTTTATGCGCTGTTTATAAATATGTCATATTATTAAATATTGAATTGCGTAGTAATATTATTTTACTTTTTTTATTATTAAAATATAAAATTCGTAATAAATCTATATGCATTCAGTTAACGGAATATTGTTTTAAAATAAATGAGATCGAACTTATCTCACGGATTGTAATTATACAGATTTGATTATTTTTTTCTCTTCTGGCTATCATAGTGACGCACACGCGACATATGATTATCAGTGGTTTTGAAAAAAGAGTTCACGCCTACTTGTCGAACCGGAACGGTGAAATTTTCTATTCAAAGATAATTTTCTACATTATGAAACTTACACTTGTTTTCCGGAGTTTCGTTTGTCAGAGTGCAATACTATTGTATAACGGAATTGCATGAAAAAAAGAGAATTATTTGATAACGAACTTCGTCAAGAGAGGGCAAAACAATATTAATTATCTGACCCGCTGTAAATATTAATGCAATTTGTGCACTATAGCAATTTATGTCCCCCTCCGTACGCAGCCTGCATAATTTTTTTAGTAAGGTTTTAAATCCCATCCAGATAATTGAGAAAAAAGTGATTCAACTGTCGGCTTTCTCAGATTTGCGAATGATGTAAATATAACCAAGTGAAAGTAGAAACTTGTACCAGTGAAAAATTAAAGTTGCAGACATATATAGAGTCGTATAATGAATCAATAAAAATTTAAATTTGCAAATGTAGAATTGTACCATAAAAAAACTTATCTTTTAAAAAAAGATAAACAAGATGCCAAGTCCATGCGCCATGTGAAAAAGTGTTAAACAAAAAAGTATTTTTAAGTAAAAAAATCTATCAATTGACAAAAATTTATGTTCTAAAATTATATCTCTACAAAAAGTATGTTGGATTTTTATTATATAGATATAATTTTAAAAAATCTTTTTTATATGCTATTGAATTTTAATACATACAATTTTGATTATATGTATTTTAATTGATTATATTTATAAGTATTTTTATAATATTATCTTAAAAAGACTGCATAGAATTATTTGTGCGACACTCTTATATGTATGTATAATTAATAGGGACCAACTACACATTTTTTTTCCACTGAATAAAAACAATCTCAATATTAAAATTAAATTATAAAAAAGATACTGTGATATTTTATTGATGAGAAATGTACATTTATAATTGTATTAAATACAAAAATAAACATGCCATGAATTACTATATATACATATTTTCATAATTATCAAACTTAAAAATATAATATTGTTACCAAAGAAGAAAGCACTATTTAAAAACTCTAAAAGTTCATAATTTGTTAAATTAGTAATTAAATACTGCATTTTGTATAATTTTTAAGCTTTATTCTTTTATTTTTCTTTATTTAATTGAATAGATATTAACATCCAATGTAGCATACAGATTAAATTAACAACCAAAAAAATAAATCTTAACTTTGAAATATATTTTTGTTTCTTTTAAATATCAATCAACTGGATTTTGTACTACTATTAATATGAATTCTTTATCTGGTGCCATCATAATTTTATGTTTTTTGCTACGTATGCGCAAGAAAGTTAAATCATTTGTTGGATTCAAGTCACGTACGACAGAACGAGCTTTATCTGACAATTGACTTATCAAACCTGCGTATTGAACTGTTGTCGTATTATCTAACGTTGACTTTATAGGAATACCTAAAACAAATATAATTTTATAAATTTTTGTTTACAACTACAAGTAAATCATGTCAATGATCTCATATAATACCTTCTGCATTCACCACTATTGTTCCAACTACCCTTTTATGAGACTGAATTTGTTTCATAGTTTCTTCAACCTCTTATAAATTATTTCATCGAAATTTATTAATAAAATTTTTATTTTAAATATTCCAATAACGGAAGCAAATCATATGGAATAAATGCGTTCTTTAATTGTAGGCTGCATATGTGGTGGATGACTGTAAGTCCGACAAAATTCCAATATTCCATGGGAATCTATCAAAATCTATATTGTCATACTTAGCCAATGTATTACACAATATATTATGGTATATACAGGCCAGATGCTTGCAATGACACTGAGCAATAAGATCCTTGCCACTACAATCACAATGATAAAAATGATTAAATAAATTTAAAATAAATTTAAAAAATATATTATTTTGATACAAAGTGTGTGATGAATAATATTTAATTTGTATATTAATTATTGGATATATATGTACCTGCAATAAGAAAATGCCAGAAAAATTGTAAAATAGTTCCTATAGCACTGATATTAGATTTATCTTGTTAAGCTAATCGAATGCTGCGATGATAACTAGCCATTGCCCAACCCATGCTCACAAGTGAGCTGATAATGCTACCTGCTTGATGTACAACTGAAAAAAATATAGAACTAATTAGAAAATTATTAAAAATATATGCATACTCATACATAGGCATTTATATAATTGAAATATTATTGAAATAATAGCAAAATATCTGATTTTGTATCACAGACTGTAAACTTGCACATAAATTATATACAATAACAAATAAATAATTGCAAATAATAACAATAATAAAAATTGAATCTAAAAATTGAATTGAAAATTGAATAATTGAATATTATCTAACCCCGCACGCTGTCAATATAGCGGGGGCAACTATCGCCGTCTGTGTTAAAACGTGCGAGATGGACATTTCAATACTGCATACTGCATTTATTCATGTGTTGTGTACGTGTGCGCATGTGTTGTATACGTGTGAATACGTATAGCACGATACTACTATGTTTGCGTGGTCGTTGATGACGGAGACGTTTCTTAAAAGAAATTTTTCATATTTCGACTTTGCATTTATATATCTCTGCTTACAAATCACGTAGAGCAGAAATAAAGACACTTTTATATATAATTCGAACTCAATCTATCGATTAAGTCTAGTATAAACTCGATTGCTTCAGCCGTTATTGAGGATTCGAAATTTATAATAGACTCAAATGTCCGACTCGCGTTAAGATACACGGTGTCTCGGCTACGCCCTTAACTGGTCGCGAGACACTACGTGTCTCTTGATTTAGAAATAATTGATATATTTCTTATACCGTTCTTCTCTTTAATTAATGAATTGTCTATAACGACAAAGGGTCTCTGATTCATGATGAACGTGTGCGTAATATATTGATCACTTGATAATTAAAATGATACTTAAATGATTGCCATTACTCTACGTTCAAGCATAATATCAATGAAAAATTAACGATCCAAGAAAAATTCGATAAGAAAGTTTGGCTATACGGAAACCGTGTAATACATGTACCATATAGTGCTTGGTCAAGACAGAACGTTTAGTCAGGTTTCAAGTAGGTCACTAGGCCTTGGCCCATTGGCACGCCTCGGATCCGGCAATGTTCTTTAAACAAATTCCGGAAGTACCTTTCACGAAGTTTAAAATTGAACTCGTTTCGCAAGTTGAAAAAATGCAACTTTTGCAAAACCTGTTTTTAAACTATATATTTTAATATATATGTTGCAATATAATGTATTGAAAATTGGAGAACACATAATCGTCATAAAAAGTAATACTCGTGATATTATTTATAAAATATTTATTTGATATAATTAAGAAACGGGCATAGATTTAAATAACAAAGTAATTATTTTTTCGAATATAATATTCACATATATTATACACAACGTGCGAATATTAAAATATTATTAACATTTTTGTTACACGATAAGAAATATGTTAATATTATCGAAAGTAAAAAATGCTGATGCAAAGGGGAAGTCAAGTTGATAAATAATTTAATAGTGAAACATTTTATTTGGCCTACAATCGCTTGCACTGATACTTAAGTGAAGAGAAACTATGTGGATCAATTATTATTTAGTATATTATTATGTTAACTCAATTATTATTTTTTGTTGTAATTATTATTACAAGTTATTCTAAAGTTATTTTAGAGTTATTCATCTAAAACAAAAAATTATACTTTAATTTATATATGTTCCACAATATGTTTGTTTTTTAATCAACTGATATTATACTTATATTGTTATGTATTAAATAAATAATTGTCTCGTAATTAAAAATATTTTTATTATAATAAATGATAATTTATTGAACATGAATAAAATAGTCTGAAAAATATCCTCTATCATACATGTGATTCACAATATAAGAAAATATACATCTAGAAACAAATAATATAACAATTACGGACAGCAGAGTCTTATAAATATTTAAGAATTTATATTAATCTTATTTGAGATTATTCACTTGGTCAGATAGATGCTATGTATGCGTGGAAATACATCTCTTTGAAACACATCATGTTAACAGACGTCGAAGAATCAATAGCACAGAATATGCGTGCTTGCTCGCTTACAAATACATGTACTATGATAATTTAATATCAATTATTTCTCACTGAAATAACATTCATTCTCATTATATGATTATATTAAAAAGATAGTGGTAATATTTTTTATATATTTATATACTTAATCGTGTTATTTGTTATTTATATAACTTTATTTTTTATTTAATTATAATATTTGTATTGATAATAGTAGTAACAAGTTGTTATATACCGTTATCAATATCAAGACATATAGTATAAATATATTATAATTAGTTTAAAAAAAATTTATTTCAGTTTTTATACCTATACATAAATATATATATTGCAATTTATTCGTATATTAATATAAGCAGACTTTTCGTATTAATTTATACTTTACTCAATCCATAGTTACTTTTGACAATGAAAATCACAAATTTAATAATCAAACATTCTCTAATCTAAATTGCATGTAAATCAAAGCTTGACATCGTTAATACAATATGTAGCTTATATATAAACAAGTTTTAAAATTACGAAATTATATTATCACGATGGACGCGAAACGCATCGCGCGGATCGTCATTCCGGATTCGATGGAAACGATCCATGGCTTTGTTTTTTTCCGGTTTTGCTTGCAGGATGTACGTGGCGAGAGGCACTATGCACATGTGTATTTCAATCGGACTTTGGTTTCGTGCTAAACTGCGCGTTCAAAAAATCCGGATTGTTTCGGATAAGAAACCTTGGAGGAGTAAAAGGGTATGTCGGTTTAGGTGAGTTGAATTATGGGAGCAATCACGATCATCGATCTCAATAATCGCGTTCATCAATAGATCGATTCTTCGATCCGATTCATTCGATTAATTTCCTCAGAGATATAAATAGACAACTGAAGACAAAGAATTTATAATAGTCGCGCCGATCGATTTTTCTAAATCCACATTAGAAATTTTTGTAAAAATAATTCTATTAAATATATATTTTTTATCTTAGATATTTTATATTTAATGTACTATACTAATTTATTTAATAACTACCTAAAAACTATACTAATTATAAAATAGTCTTTTGTAATTTTAATAAAATTATGTGCAAAACAAATTAATTTAAATTTTATGTACAAATATATAATATTGTAATTTATTGAACTTTACTTTCGTTGAACTTTAAGTTAATATTTATTCGATACGCTTACATAATTCCTGTAATCATGTATAGATTAATATTACCATATATATATTATACTTTTGCCTTGACACTTCTCTTTTCATTGCTTGCTTCTTTAAAGAGATAAATTACATATTACATATATAACTATTTGATACATTACATAAATCTCTTAGCCAATTTTTGCTATAAAAATGACTTGCTATATTCATAATAACATATTGATCCTTACATTTATAAAATATTTTTTGATGCCAAGAAAACTCTTAAAAAAGGAATTAAAGATTCGGTTCATTCAATGAGTTAATCAAATCCTTTTATATCATACATGAAATGAGTCTTATTCAACAGATGCACGCACCTTTCACAGTATATTGTGAAACTTTTTCTATAGTGTATAGTAAATGTAAATATCTGTATAATAAGAATTTCTAAATTATACACGACCCAGTTTGTATATATATATAATTTTATTCATAGTTTAAGAAACTTGCGAAATCAGTTTCTACCAATTTGTTTTCATAGGTTTATTTGTGCTGTGCGCATATCATCTTCGAAGAATTGAGAAACGAGGTAGCTTGAATAATGCAGCAAAATTTTCGCGCGCCAGTGCGTTATTTGCATGTGCAGAAAAGGCGTTTATTGTGTCACTATGTCGAAAAGACTACCGCATGCAATTGTTGCATAAGATTAAGTATGGAAGAAAAAGATTGATAAGTACATTAAAAAAATATAATGATGTTATAATGACACCTGATATATATCAAAGCAAATTGTCAAATCGATCGTTTATATAATTCTGCTTTCTATTTCTCACAATTATCACGATTGTTGATAAAAATATGTACAACGGGATTCTATTACCAATTTTTCAAGATATACTTATCTTTTTTAATTCGAATTTTATTATACATTTTTAATGATTGATGTATTATAATTTATCATCCTATATCTAATAAGTTCGTAATTTGAAACATAGGACTACATATGTATAAATTGATTGCGTTAGCATCGAGAGAACTACATGCAATGCTTTCAACAAACTTATTATGAGATATACATAGGTTGGCCCGCGGGTATAAAAGTCATACGCAACGGTTTAATCTGTAGATTGCATTGAATGCCCTACGACCGATTTCTGTCGCAATTTTACAGCTTTAAAAATGCAGCGTGACAATACGCCGATGATTTATTCATCGCCTTGACTTGACCCAGTTACAGACGACTAAAATATTCATCTAATATTCTCATAAAGGAGATCTCCGGACACAATTGACATTTAACGTATGCAATGGAAGATCAAAGATGTCGATATTGTAAAAATGAGCTACCATAAAAAGTGTCAAAATTGAGCAACGTTCTTTGCGTAATATTTGTCTGTCTTTAAACCCGTTCAACGGTTACAATTTTATTACGTTTTACTGGAACATGTTATGCATAATAATTGTTAATATAGACTTACGACATACATAAAAGTGTGACAGAGAATTTTTTTAAATCCTGTAAATTTTAATTTAAAAATTAAAATAAGTTGAATAAAAATGTAAATATATAGAATTGTAGAAAATTGTATAAAATCTGTCAAATATTATAAAATGTATAAAATATGATAAACTGTAGGGAAAAAATGGAAAAATGGAATGTCAGAGATTTCTAAAAGCTTTAACTTCTATACTGAATGACTTCATCTGTATTTTATGCGCATCTTTATTCTTTTAACATACTTATCAGAAGCTTTCTATAAAGTTCTATTTTTGCCTTTATGTGTAAATAAATTAAATTAGCATATACTGTTTCTATTATATTTCAAAAATTTTAGATCCTGATCCGTAAACATCATATAATTTGATTGAGTCAATTTAATTCAACATTGCCTGATTGCAGGATTTTCCGTTGGAGACGAATTAGGCTTCGGCCAATCGCTCTCTAATTTGGAAAGTGCAAAAAGAAGAAGCGTGCAATCAAACAGAGCTAACGGTCTTACAATTAATCCTTTAAATACGGTAAGTAAAAATTTGCAAGAAAAGCCAATGATTTCACTTACATCGATCGCCATTAACGATTAAATTATTTAGATATAAATAGGCATTCAAAGTATGCGTACGTTTAAAACTAAAAAATAAATAATAGGATGCATAGGTATACCATACTTGATTTTTATAAAAATTATATATTTGTAATGTACATTAAGAACTGATGGAGTAAATTCCAGAACAAGCAAAAGAGCGATTTTACTCTCGTTGATTGTCGATTTCATATTCATTTTTCATATTGCCAACTTTCTTTCCTGCCTTCCGAACCAGTATTGCTCTTTATCGCGTTCACTTTGCTATACATCCGCGAAGTTAAACATCCTGTACGCTGATATTTATCGCGAAGTAAACGTCAGCCACTCTCAAATCGGTTCATGGAAAGTCCAACGTAGATCAGCGCGAAAGCGTACGCTCGCTCTTCGATAAATCCCCTTTAGAGAAGCAGCTTTGATCACTCGACTGTAAACTAATGGCATCTGCTTTCGATCTGGCTACAATCTCTTCGATCTTGCATTTAACAATGATTACAGGATCACATGTTCCATTATTAACTTTTCGTTTCATCGCTTCATCGAGGAAGATGTACGACGCGTTTATCGCAACTGATGCTTTCTATGCGAAAGCATAAGTTATGAAGAAAACTTTAATTGTTATGCTATTATAATTAGTTCCTTCTCGTACTTCTCATGCGATAAATCATGAATAAATGCTATATATATTGCATGTGATTTATATATCAACCTTTGCAGCTTGTACACGAACGCAATGTTTCCGGACGTTCACTTTTGTTTTTCCAATAAAGAAAAAAAATCACCGTAAAACGTGATTTGTAATATTAAGCGAGGAGAATATTTAGTTTCAAAGTTCGCATTCGATGAATGAAATTGTATTTACCGTGCACGCTGCGAGAAAATATAGATCATACGAGCTATCAAAGCCGGCCTTGTCACAACTGGTGCATGAATGTCGCTCCGGTCACATTCACACACACTGATTTTATATGACATGCTGTGATTTTGTTAAATCTTTCCTCAGGCAACGACGATGTTTTGCGGTTTTCACTGATGCAATTCACGAGAGTGCGCTGTATTAAATAGAACTGGGCATTTAGTATCTAAAATTCTGTTCCAAAAATAAAATATATTGTTTTCAGGCAAGCAATCGGGATGAAATGGCGCGTCCGGGATCGATAAATACCCGCCAAGTGCCGCCCTTTAAGCCTTTGCCATTTGGAACAGCTCGACCATTAGCCCAACAGCCGGAACGGCAGAAGCTGGTGGTGAATTCGACGGCGATTAAAACGGCGTCAGTGGTACCGCAAGCGCAGCTAGATGCGCTGCAGCAACAGCATCAGCGAATTCACCAGGAGGCCAAGTTAAAGCAACAACAGAGAATACAACAGGAGGCGTTGGCGCTGCAGGTACTAAAGCAGCAACGTCAACAACAGCAGGAGGCCATGAGACAGCAGCATATGCAAAAGATGCAACAAATGCAGAAGCAGCAGCAAATCCTAGCGCAAAGGCAGCAGATCATGACAATACCGAATAAGAAAGATCAAGTAAGATTTGGATGATTTATTGAGGTTGCTCAATTAACATTTCACTTTAATTTATATTTTAATATGAAGAGATATTGAAGATAAAGAATAGATGTTATTTTTCTTTATAGTCGTGGATTTAATTATCCCAATGAAAAACTCATACATTTTCTGTGTTATTGTAATAAATCTTTGTACTTGATTACTAAGATTAACTTAAATCTTGGTAAGTAATTTGTGGCATTTCTAAAATGCATCCGCTTTCCATTTTAGCCATTGCAGATGATAGCGGTGACAGGAACAGTACCGAAGCTATCTAATGTTGTCGCTGCAATTCCGCAAAGTGGTATGGTCGAAGCCGAAGTCCTTTCCCCGTCATCATCAAAGGTAACGGGTAATTTGGTCTCGTCAAATGCTGCTTTGCCACCTTTCATTGCGATGCCGCAATCATCGGCGAAACTCACAAACAGAATCGGTAACGGTGGTTTGCTACAGGATGCCGATAATGAAGTATCGAAAGATGATTATACTCAGGTAATCGATATAATTTTATTAAAATTATATGTTTAATTATTAAAATCTTTTATATTATCTAATGTATATTATTATTGCTATCTATTATTTTATTATTATACTTTTATTACCTATACTATTGTATTTACTACTGTATATTTATTATTATATATGTTTGTTAATATTATATGTATTATAAATTACCTTCTAGTATAAATTATATGCAATATAAATTATCTTGAATTATATCTTTTTATATTAACCATCTAACTCTTACATGTCAATAAAAAGAATGTTTTGCAACAATTAATCGATATCGAGATGTACTTGAGAAAAGATAAATTTTAAAGTTATAAATTATTATTTTCTCACGCAGCTACCTTTGCCGAGCGATGAGATGGCTGCTTCAGTGAACGAAATGACGTTGCTTTCGTTGCAGTCTATCGCTGCATCTGAAACCAGTCAACTACTGCCTGTTCAACAAAATGAAAAACCGCAGTCTCTACCTGACAGCTTACCATCTTTGGCTCCTATCCAGGGTATGGAAACTTCTTTAAAAGCTCTTGCGGAGGCAAGTAATATTACTCTAGAAGCCTTGGAAGCGGCAATTCTCCTGAGACAACAGCAGCTTCTTAAAAAACAGCAAGGACCTTTGACAACAAGTACCACAACCACAGTGGCACCTCTTAGAAAGTAATTTACATCTAATCAATATTTTTACTTTTCATATATCTAATCAATCTTTCACGCAGTTAATATTTTTACATAGAATAAAATTAATTTTTCTATAACATAGTTTCTAATATACTAGAAATATATAATAATGATAATATAACAAGTCAGGGATGAGATAGCGAGACATTTTTGTTTGTGTTAAGTAAATACAATTCCGGAGCCACCAAGGTGATGAACGCGCCCCGGGAATACTATCCGGTAGGATATGACAAAAATTTCGACGACAACTTTGCAAGTCGCGTTGACCTGCCTGACACGAGCTTCTACTGTGGCGATCAAAAGCATTTCCCAGGTCTTTATGCTGACGAAGATCTAGGCTGCATGGTAAATTTTTTGAATATTGTATATAATATATACATAAATATACAATTCAAGAAAAAACCTTTTTAAATTACACATACATAGTTACACTTAAATATAAATCATGACATAAATATTACATACGAAAAACTTTGGCCTTATTATTTTAATTAAAAATTATTTTTGTGCAAAAAGGTGTTTCATGTTTGCGCACTGACGGATGATGGACTGATTATGAAGAGTTTCCTCTGTCCGGAATCGACGTTGTTTGATCAAACGATTCTGAAATGCAACTGGTGGTTCTACGTGGACTGCAAAGCTTCCAAGAGCTTATACGACAGCAATATTCCTATAAGCAAGAGTTACCAGTTGATGAAAGCCTTGGCGTTTTTCTCGGCGTATAAAAATCACGAAAACGGAACAAGCAATGAACAAGCAAACGAAAATATTGAATCAAAAGAGATATAAATTCTTGAATTAATAGTAAATCAAAAGTTTATAGAATTGTAATCAATAAGCTCAATTTTCCTTATCTGGAAATTATCGTATTTCTATGATAAATTTTCTTATCTAGTTTTAAAATGCGCTAAAACTTTTATCTGTATATATAATTTATTTGATTAAGAGAGAAAGAGAAAATAGAAAATAAGTTAGATTTCTATTTTATATAGAAGCAATGTAAATAGTACACGTTCCTGGTTCTCGATCATAATTTGTTGAATAATAATATATATTATAGATATATCTCTTCTGCTTAAAATTTTTCTTTCCATTAAAACTAACGTGTTTGGTAATAAAACACAAAAGCAAAGAAGTATGAGGTGAGGAAACGACAGAAAATGAAAAAAGCGCAACATTTTTATTAATGCTCGATATACATTTATGGTTATATGAGAACAGTGTGAACTTAAATCTGCAATAATGCTGCATTACTATTAAACGAATCAGCAATTACGCGCGATCAGTCTCTTTCTGTTTTTTTCTGACACTTATATCTACGAATTCGTGAACTTCGTATTAAATTATTCGTATGCGCACGCATAGCATTATATCTATATTTCTATATATAGAAACGCATATAAAACGTACAAAAGTTTTGTTATATAGATGTATTTATTAAATCATAAAAATTATCTGGTAATTGGTAAACAATGAAAACGAGTTCTAATTGACGATATGTTAACAGAGAATACTACTAAAGGCAAATTTTTGCATTGAAGCGTCATCGTAAAACATAATTGTCGATAAGTTTCTACTCCAAATCTTGCTTGGTTCGAGAACACGATAGACAGCAAGACTCTTGATAAAATTGGTAAGAGCAGAGCCGAGCTTGCGTGACTAAATTACAGTTAGCTATTTTATCCTTGCAAAGTGGATTGTTCTCAACACCTGAAATGAATAAAATAACACATGGACTAACTTTTTTTAAAGAAGATTTTGTAAATTCTCTACAGTAGTTTTATAAATTATTTATAAGATAATTATTGTATAAAAAATATTTACTATCTGTATAAATATAATATAAATAATTTGCGTCATAAACTCTCACACAAACACACACTCACACAATAAGAGAAAGAGAAAAGGAGAAGGAAAGAAATCGTTTTACCATTTGTGATTTCAGGATCGTCCTGAATAACCCTGTGAGAATTTTCAGACATACGTAAATCGTCCTTGCAAGGATAATCGTTGCATGTCCTTCGAGATATCGGTCGATCGTCCTCTCGGCAATGAATTTGATGAGGTTCTGGTAATTGACCGTCCGGATTTAAGCATCGCACTTCTCGTTTTTGAATACCTTTACCACAGGATCGCGAACACTATAAACGGATTATAAAAGTAATTATAATTTGTTAATAAATCTGTAAAAAACTTTATACTAGAGTACTTGAGATTTTTATTTTGACGATGAAGGGATATAAGTATAATAACAAAATTTACCGTCGTCCAGTCCGATATAAACCAGGTAGATACGCAAGGATGTTCTCTGCAAGGTTTCCTAGTTTCCGGCTTGTTCGCAGGACAATTCATGTCTAAGACGACACGTAGAGAACCTCGAAGACTTGTAACACAAACCACATCTCTAACTTGCTCACCCAAGTCACAGCTTGAGGAACACTAAAAATATAAAATCAACTAAAATAATTATAAAATTATTTTTGTACTGTAATAATTAGAAAGTGAGAGAAAAGATGCATATGTATAACGATATTATTTTTTAAAACAAATTTTGGTTTAAAATGAATTTTTTTATAAAGTTATTAGATGATTATGTTTAAATTTGACCTTCGTCCACGGTCCTGTGAACCATTGACCGCTACAAGTTCTGTTACTTGCGCAACCTCTGGAAATTTCGGGTCGGATAGATTCATCACAGTATTCTTTCTCAGCGCCTACCTCGCAAAAAACCCTTCTAGTTTGAATTCCTATTCCACATTCCGCCGAGCACTGAAATCAATAATTTTAAGTTTTAGAAACTGATATTGTCAGTCTGCATTATACTAAATTTTTAGACAATACAATAATTTCGTACCTCTTTTTCATCAGTATGATACACAGAATATATAAATTATTATTTATGTAATTAGTTTTGGACATGCACAATGCTCTTTCAGAAAGTTCTGATAATGAAAATCATTAGAAAAATTTTTAAACAACTATTTTGTCCAAAAAAAACTCGTAATTTCGAATATAAAGGCGAGCTTTTGGTTGTATTTCGAAAATTCTCCTTCTTATTAAATTGTTCTATTGTAGTTCTGGTCATGAATTATTTTTGTAATCAGAACTCTTTAGGAGAGCATTGTATACGTATACCCAGAACTACACGATATAAGATAAGATTTGCGTGTTAATATTGAATCAATCGTACATACATTTCTAGTAAAACGACAATTAATTCACAAATATTTCTTGAATAGTAACAGATTACCTGGTTAGACCATTCAGTAAATAACCATTGCGGGCTCTGAATATTCGCAGAAACGATACTTAATGGCGTTGATTTCGCTAAACACGGTCCTAAGTCGCAGATTTCATGTATTTCAGGCTTCTCCGAAAGATCACACGGAGTATCATGAGTAATGCAAGTTACGACTCTCGTTCTTTTCCCTATGCTGCAAGACGTGGAGCACTTTGAAACAAATGACAAAAATATCATATTTAATTAATTGAAATATATTTCTATATGTACATTTTAAATAAACCAACATACAATATTACGAAATACATGTTATAAGTATGCTATTTGTTGATTTATGTTATACTATTTAACAATAATTTGACAAATTACAAATTAAAAAAAGTCTTCTTAGATTCTCAGAATATAGCCACAGCGATCGCGAATCAAGAAAATCAAATTTTTCCCGATTCGCGATTGCTGTGGCATTTTTTAATTATTGTCAGTCATTAAAGAGATAATTAATTTTTTTAATTTAGAGATCCATTTTAGATATTATTATGTTAGGTATATTGACATGTATGTTTTTTCAAAATTTTTATTATTAAACTGAGGAAAAATATAAATCAAATTTGATTAATATATTATTAAAACAAATTACTTATTTATTAATATGTTTTATTAATAATGAATTAATATGTTTAATATGTTTAAGCAAGCTTAAAAATATGGGAAAACGTCAACAAAATAATTCTCAGTTTGAAAATTAGAAATTTCGAAAAGCCGTGTCAATATCTAACATAATGATATCAGGACATAATAAATCGGGACCTAAAATTTGGAAAAATTAATTAATACTTTTATGGCTGACATTAATAAAAATGTTGTAAAACTATAGAACTCGTCAAAAACTATAAAATTGATTAGTTTAAATTCAAAAAATGACATGATACGTTAACTTTCAGTCAAATTAGCACATCTTTCTAAATTTAAGCAATAAAATTTTATAATTTTCAACGAGTTCTATAGTTCTTATAGCATAGTTCCGACCTTTGGCTGTCACTAAATAAATATTTAACCCCAAAAACTCGCATGTTCGAATATAGGGATGATATCCTGACCGTATTTCGAGCATTTTGTTTATTGTAAACTAATTCTCGTACAGTCCTGGGGCACGTACATAGATTATCCAAAAAATTCTATCCATAAAAATATTTAAGAAATTTTTTAGACAATTATTTAATTCGAAAAACTCGTGGATAAAATTAATTATCGCTTTAATGACTTAAAGTAATTAAAAATTAAAGAGCGAGCTTTAAAATATAGGAAAACGTCAATGACATTTTTAACAGAAAATACGAACGAAAAATAAAATTTTCTACAAAAATCTTTTGATCAAATATCTATGGTTTTATTAGACTCGCGCGAAACTTTATACCCCCATATCTATCACGTTGCGCGGCTTGCGCGAGACTGATTCTCATGCGGGGTATCGCGAGCGCGGGCCCGATGGTCACATGACCAGTGGTCACATGACTAGTGGTCACATGACTAGTGGTCATGTGACTAGTGGTCATGTGACCATCGGTCCCGCGCTCGCGATACCTCGTACAAGAATCAGTCTCGTGCGAGTCGCGCACTGTAATGGATGTGTGGGGTGTACTAATCTGATCACATAATCAGTTTCGCACAAGCCGTGCAGCGTAACAGACGTGCGAATCTAATGGAAGCGCAGATATTTTTATTAAAGATTTCTGTAGAAAATTATATTTTTTCTGTTAAAAATGTATATATTGAATTTTTATAAATCACGTAATTAATAAATATATTTCTATTAAATTTATTTTAATCCTGCGGGAAAATTTTTGAATCCGCAATTTTTGGAAATTGACAATTTTATTGAGAGTACTAATAGCCCCCGAAGAGTTCTATCGATTACCCTTATTGTTTAATGCGCTAAAATGAATAGAAAAAGTTATACGGCCTCCACACACACAAATTGGAAAAAAATAAAGTTAGCCCCCCATAACTTTAAGTGCTATTTTTGATGCTTTAAACGGCCAAACTATTTCTAAAGTCGATAGAGAACTCTAGAATTAAGGGGCGACCAGAATTCTAATAATTTGTCCAAAATTTAAAAATGGTCGCTAACTTCTCATACTCATAAAATAATCCTTCCAATAGGTACACCTTGATGTTAGTGAGAGCTTAGTACCTGAAAGGTATATCCTAAAGAGAAAGCCAAGTACCCAAACAATTCGGCAATGTAGTAAAAGTATTATCATGAATTGCAAATAATTTATATGTAAAGAGAGTTTTAACGAAATGTTAATTTGCTAATTAAATCTTAAAATAATATTATGTTGAAAATATTAAATTTGTAATATGTTGTAAATATGTTATACAATACCTAATCCGCCATTAATATTTTTTGACAGATATTAGCTGATATCTGTCAAAAATATTAATCGAGTTTACAATATTATAATATATTATTTACAACATAACTCTTGCGATAACAGCCGCTGATTTAATGATTTAATATACCTTTTTTAGAAAGGAATATATATTGATACGAATTGATTTGTTCCACTGATAATGAGATAAGTAACGGAATAAGATTACCTGGGACCAATCGCCGACAGTCCATCGTGGTGACGATGTTTGAGAGGACGTCTGCGTCGACGTCTGCTTGATTTCTTCACACGCTGGCATTTCGCACACTTCACTTGTCAGCAAATCTCTCGATTTTGTGCAAGCACCATCAGCGATTCGCATCGTTAAGGAAGGTTTCACCTCCTGAACGCACTCGAGTTCCCGAGTGCGAACTCCGGAACCACAGGAAGTAGAACAGTCACTCCATGGTCCGCCGCGCCATCTTTTAAATATACAGTTTGATATCAGTTTCAAAGAACTAAGGAGACTGGTAATTAAGTAATCATGAACAATTAATTAAATTTTGGTGATATAATAATTAAAACATATTTTTATTCATTATTTATTCATAGCAATATAGTTTTAGTTTAAATCTTCCTGCGATGTTATAATAATATACTTTTTTTATATGTAGCTTTGTTTTCTATTAAATATTATTCCTCGCGAATATTTTATTATAATTATTTAATATCTTTACATTATTGTAACACACACTTTTTAAACATTTAAACTAAAATTGGCTTACCTGGGCGGACATGGCCTAGTATTGCATCTCAGACGAACTTCCCGCGGCTTTTCTAACGCATGACATCTCTTCTCCGGCACCTGCTGCTGCGTGTGTTCTTTAATACACACGTGTCTAAGTGTCTGAACACCTTGTGTAACACACAGAGGTCCTTTGTATCCGCAAATATGCATAAATCACCATTAAACAAACTAATTATTAGCTAGTTCTTATTTACCTCCGCCGCATAATTTACTGCAATCGCTATAACCAATCGCCTTCCAAGAAAATTTTCTTCTTTTGTAACGCCGAGGTAAATATGGAGTTGTTACATTGCTCAATCCAGGTCCAGTCTCGACTCTAAAATTAAATTCCTTTAGTCCATTACGAAAAAGAATATACACTGCGCGCGTTTTTAACTATTAAATAGAACATTTTAGATATAATTATATTAAAATGTAAACTGTAATTCACATTTGTGTAAAACGCCAAATTGATTATAGAGTTTATCAGAAATGTGTCTTACCTTCTAGTTTTCAAACCAGACTCAATGCCTTTATTTGAAACTGTAAATATATATTTTGTCAAGAATTTTATAATTTACTATTAATATTTTTATTGCTTCTTAAGAAGAAAAGTAAAAATGCTAAAAATCTTTTTATCTAATTTTCTCTGTTTTATGTAAAGTAAGTCTAAACATATAAGAATTCAAGTAAAATAGTAAAAATAATAGAAACGTTCTCTTTAGAACAAAAATATTTGATAGAGAATATCAGAAGATTACTTTCCATTTAATGTTTATATTATAATATGCATATATTATGTTAAAATAATACCTGTGTTATGAGCAAGATGACTTCTCGGTAGATTCGTATTTCCAGAAATGACGTATCGATAAACAATTCCAGGGTTTGGTTCTTGATATAAAACCTACGGAATAATAATCGAATGCTTAATTATTTTTATGTATAAATATCATAATTTATAATTATATAATTGCTTAATTATTTAATTTTAATGTTATATCCAAAAGTAGAGAAGCGTAAGTAATATAACTCCAGTAAATATAGAGTCTATATATGATTTATGTCGATGTGTGGTGGAAACTCAGCGGTGAAAGGGTTAAGTAGAACACGGTTGAACCCATTAACGCCCACGATTGTCCGAGCACAACAATGTATTATATCGCTACTCGTAAAACGTCATTGTGACCATCGCGACGATATCTGCAATTTGGCCGAAGGACGCAAAATATTCCACAGAATAACTACAGATTGGGCATATTTTGTACATATGTTTGTAATTTCTTTGTAAATGATTCAATGATATTTATCGCACATAAATAATTTACTCCGCTTTAATTAGATTATTTTTCTATTTAGATGCATATGCATTTATTATAATATATAATATCTTTATATCTCATAAGACGCGGGAAAGATTGCCTCTTTCTTCGTATATGTGTGCATTCATATAAAAGTTAAACTTTACATAGTTTATTAATATCCTCGTTCATATATATATATTACTTACCATGACATCTATAGGTTCCTGTAATGGTCCGGCGGCAGAAAAACTCTCTAAATTCTGAGAACCCTGACGTAGATAGATAAACGTTGTTCCGGCCGCCTTGTACTCACCGGACCAGTTAATAGTATAATTTCCATTCAACAGGTAACTGCCATCATGCAATCTAATCGCTGCAAATTTATTATTACATTTTGTTATATTCTTTTAAAATTGAAAGAAACACATTAAAAGTGTTGCAACGCTGAGAAAGATATGTATAGATAATATAATTATATCGAATTAATAATATATGTATATTCGTCGAGAAATAGTAATTTATCATTGTCCTGTATTATATTGTATTAGAATTTATTTTTAACACAACAGTTCTAGTATAATACAGTTACAGTTATTGCTTAGAACGCTTAAGAACGTGTTGCATAATACACTTATTCCAAAAAAGTGGTACATTTAAAATTTGGCAAAAAGTCACCAAATTTTAAATTACGATAACTTTGTAAATAATAAAGATAGAAAAGTGTTTAAAAAATAAAAATAAAGTTTAGAATTTTTACTTTAAGTATCTATTCATTTTAATGTTGCAAGATAAATTTATTAAAAATGGCGGATGACAAAACGAGAGCATGCAAAATTGAAAAATAATAATCCGAATTTGCCAAGGCACATGGCACGAGTCAAATGTCACAACTCAATGAAATATAAAGTACATGATAGTACAAAGTCTCCCCTTTAAAATGCTTTTTTATTCTTCTCGATACGATGATTTTTCGCAGAGTTATTCGCATTTGAATAAAAAAACTGCTTTTTACTTTAAATGCCAATAACTTTGCGAAAAATTATCGTATCAAGACGAATAAAAAAGAATTTTAAAGGGGAGACTCTGTACTATCATATGCTTTTTGTCCCATTAAATTGTGACATTTGACCCACACCATGTGCCTTGGCACACTGGGACCATTATTTTTTGATGATGCATGATTTCATTTTGTCATCCGCCATTTTTAATAAATTTATTTCGCAACGTTGAAATCAATAGATTCTTAAAGTAGAGATTCAAAACTTTATTTTCATTTTTTAGAAACCTTTCTACCTTTATTATTTACGAAGTTATCGTCATTTGAAATTTAGTGATTTTTTCCAAATTTTAAGTCTACCGCTTTTTTAGAGTGTATATTAAACTAGTTATAAAAAATCATGGTATGACCCCAATTATTCGCAAATGATCTACTACTTCTATTTATAGAACAGCGATGATCTCGACACGTCGATTGACACGTATCATGCTAAAGCCGGCAATCACGATCGTTTAAAGCAAGACTTACGCGTACAATGGTGGTCGTTTATGAGCAAGTTTACGGTTGCGAGAGATTTATGTAATCCACGTGGCATGGACCGGTGCATCTAATTTAGCAGAACAGTGGGTCCCGTTTCACTTATGAGAACATCGCGACTGATTAGATTACATTGCTTTACGCCGAACGCGCAGAAAATGAGTAGATTAAAAAAATTCATAGAATTCAATTTTCAAAATCTTATCTTTGCTCTTTAAATTTATTTCGAGTTTTGAGATTTTTATCAGAAAAATTAAATTAAATATTTATCAAATATGTATCTTAGCGAAGAAGTACTTGTTAGCGAAGAAGTCCTTAAAGCGTACGCTTTAGCAAATTTAAAATAGATTGTTCAGTTGTGTTTATTACTCATTGAATTTGTTTTGCAGTTCTCTACAACTCTACATTATTATTTTAAAAAAGCACATGGTTTTATTTAAAAATGTCAACGTGATCTTGCTTTTTTATCAAACAAAAAATGCTCAGTCAATTTTTATTATTGCAATTTATTGTCGGTTAGAAACTGATAAATTTCTGTTCATAATATTTTTGTCAGATTATCGTAAGCGCCTTAAAAATTATAGCGACGAGGACCATCCTATATGTAAATCTTTACATAAGAATGGCGGATGACAAAATGAAATCATGCATCATCGAAAAATAATGATCCCAGTGTGCCAAGGCACATGGTGTGGGTCAAATGTAACATTTTATATTGATATTTTTGTATTTATTCCTTGAATTCTGAAAGATTATATAGATTTAGTTTCACACGGAGCGATTTCCTATCCACTTCTCTCGAGTCATACATCTTTGCAAATTAGGTGAGGATAATGGGAGGTGCAATCGCGTCGGCGGTGAATGAATGTTCCGACAGCATTGTTAACGATCGCGACTAATCACGCCGCGGGCGATTCATTTGCTTATCGATCGACGCGATCATTGCATAGAAGACGCATCGATTACGATCTGTTGTGCTCGCATCCTGTGAAAGGCAATCATTATGTTACCCTGATCGAGCGATGAATAAATTTGAAAGGTATTGAAGGCGGTAATGATGATTACCTTCAGATGCAATAAATCAAAGTTTGATTTCTAATCGCATTTTAAATGTTTATATGACAAATTTGTTAAAGAATAATGCCATGTTGTGAATATTTAAATTTAGATTATTGTTATACTTAAATATTCTTTTTAAAATTAATATTTCTTTTTTTATTATTATGCATTTTTTTTAATTCTTTATTATTTGCTGCTTTTAATATCATTATTAAGTCTTATAATGTCATTCGTTTTTTATTAACTGATAATATCATTTATTGCGAATTTTTTAATTAATATACAGCACTTTTAAAAACTTTCTTCTAAAAAGTTTAGAAAACTAGATCATATCTAATATACACTAAATTAAATTAATAAAGATAGCTTACGATTAATTTTTTATTGTTGTAAAAATAATCTTATGATTTATTACATTCTTCGAAAAGTATAATTTTAAGACTCAAGGACTGGCATACGACATAAAATTTGCACGATTATAGTTACATAAAGGCATTTTAACGCCTAATTTTACGCATGTTACACTGAAGAGAAAACGAATCGATTAGTTTTCGCAAATTCAATAGTCATAAGTCATAACCATTAATAACGACATTTGTCATATATCTTGTTTTACGAGAAGCTATTATTTTTCAAGATTTCTTTTTCAGGAATCACCAAGACGCCTGGCGCAGATGACTAATCGATTACTTAACCTGATGCCGTTGATTTAATATTTGCATGCGTTTCCAATAATTCTTAATCTTTTTATAGCTTCTCATAAATTTTTTTTCAATGCAAGTCTAAATAATAATTTCGTAATTTTATCGAAGTCAGTGATATTATTTTTAGTCGCGTCTCCAATAATTTTCGATTGCATAAGCAAAATATCTGTTGTTGAATTAATTTTTGTCTGTAATCATTCGCGTGAATCGTCGATGATTTTAATCGTCGGGTGCGGTTGGGTGTTTAACGACTACGCCATGTAAACGGGTTACTGTAAACAGTGCATATAAACGGTGAGAAATCAACGGTAGGTGGAAATGCATTCCTCGCAACCGGTTGCCTGCGATTTCCACGAAATCCATAACGATACTCCACTGAATTACTTTATCTGGCGCCAATCGCGCAATTAATGTTAGAATCTTGATAGGATCTTGATGGGAACGTTAATAAAAAGAATCTTCCTCTAGTCACGTCCTGTAGTCATGTAACGTTCAATTTACATTGCAAAATATACAAAGTTGCGTATGCACAAATATCAATTTATATCTTGCAATAATAGAGCAATTACTATCCATTTCTTTCTTGTGTTACTTATCATTAAAAAATTGAACATTTTATAATGTTACGGCTTTAGAATATAACTAGAAACATCAGAGCACTTTAGTAAATCCGTATATATAATCACAACTATAATAATAAAAAACATTTCTTATACTATATAAGTAAAATATATTGATGATAAACTTATAGATTACATTGTAAGGAACATCTTATTTAAATATATATGCGTATATATATATATATATATATATATATATATATATATGCGTACTTTGCATTTATTTAAATAAGATGTTTCTTACGATACTGTGTATATATACATATATATATATACACGCTTAAAATGTATAATATATATAATAGAATAATTAAATATAAGAATCTGTACGCTGATGTTCTTGGTGCAAAAATAACTATCAAAATATTTAAATAAAATATTTTTAGCTGGTTCCAAAGTAGTAAAATCGACCATTTATTTTGGCGAACTTTATATTGCGCAAACTATTATTATGTATTTTAAATAGAAAAATTTGTACGTTGGTATGTTCTTGGTGGAAAAATAATCTGCAGACAATATACTATCAAAATATTTAAATAAAATATTTATGGCTGATTCTAAAGTATTAAATATATCAACAATTTGTCTCCGCTTTGTAGACTGTTATTATGTATTGTATATTTTAAATAAGTAGAAAACTCAACGTAAAATCGAACGGAAATAGCTTAGCTCTTTTAATTTAGTTTATAATCACAAATTCCTATTTCTCTTACCAAGATAGTTCTGCGTGTGACGGAGTTCGGTCACGTTCAATGCCAAGGCGCCACGCGGAACAACCGCAACCAAATTGTAGCCCGGTTCCAAAGTCGGTTCCGTGAAAATTCCGTCTATCAGATGACCGCTGCCAAATCTCACGCCAGCCTGAAACAATCGATATAATAGGACATGTTAGAACGATCAAGAAATTCACACAAAGAATAATAAATTATGCGATTTCACGGAACTGAAATTAAATCCGTATTTTAGTGCTCAAGATCAAAGTCTGAGCAGTTTGTTGAACGGATCGTGGGCGACGAATGACGTTTCTGGTTGCACCTCTATTTTTCCAGATGTCAAAGCGGCATCGGTGGACGTCAGAGAACGCGAATCACTGTGCTGATGCGAATCTGCGAAATGAATTAATAGGAAATGGCACACCCGCAGCCAGATGACTGATGCAGACAGGCGATGCGCTTGTATGCTCGATAAATATCTCGATGCACCGATTACGACAAAGCATGACAAAGCCGCGAAAGTAATGCAAAAATTTTGCAACACAATGCGATACAAAAATTGTTAATGGCTGTCAAATAGTTTTTTAAACAATAAAGCTGTCATCTCCTATATTTTAATTTCCAATCGTAACACTTTAATCGCGACTGTGTATTTCTTAACAGACTGTCGCACATTCGGATGATGTGACAGAATGCAGACGAATTGAAACTAATACATCATTGTGACAACTCCATAATTTCGCGTTATTTTTTTTCGATGTAGAGAAGTATTTTACATACTTACATATTTTACAAAAATAAATATTGGTCGTCAATTTTCTATCCAAAAAAGTGGCGTAAATAGAGAAATACCATTTAAACATTTGACTCTTATATTTTTTAATAAAAAAACATAAATAAATGTATTATAAAATCAAATTAGAACAAACAAATTTTTAAAGAAATATATGCTGTCTATAAAAAACACAAAGTAAAATTTACATAAAAATGTTATTTATTGCATCCATTTTTCTTAGAACACCCTATGCATGAGAACACTAAAATAGAATGAAAGCAAGATCTTATTACATCGAAACGATGGAATGTTTTTGCTTCCTTGCCAGATCGCCGCGTAAAATCATCAAGGTTAATTAAACTATCAAACGATAGTTGGAGATGCAAGATGCGCAATTTGACCTGAATCGCGATTAAAGTATTATCATGGTCTGTATGTGGCCACATGGTTCTATTCGTAGCACGTACCAGTCTCTATGTTAGTTTCTTCTAATCTAACCACAAGCTTCTTCGATTGCTACTATCTGCAATAAATCATTTCTCTTCCCTCCTCCCTTTAAGCATTGCTTTGGCAAATTATTTTCACACTATTTTATATCACTATTCACAAATAATCCTGTTTAATAATTATAATATTTTATTAAATTTCTAAAATGAAATAAACTTATTAATTATATCTAATTAATAATAGAAACTAAAAAATATAAATTGAGACATATACATATATATATATATATATATATATTGCATTCTTTTATTTAACATAAAAACATAAATAAAAATTGTAATGAGTATCAGAGAGAAAGAGAGAGAGTTCATATTTTCTCGATTTTCTTTAGCAATATAGTTTTTGCTCAGTACCTATGTAAAAAATAATTGCAACATCATAAATCGACAGTTTACACGTCGGAGATCATTCTGAAAGAGTGACGGGGCTCAATCGAGTCTGGTCATTCATTTTCAACCAGGTCTAATCGGCGCAAACTGCACATCAAGCCGCGCCCAAACTGACACTCCTCTCTCCAATTGGATTAACTCGGGATGAATGTCAACTTTGCTAGCCGTTTGTATACGCGCGATCGCGCGATGTTAATTGTATGAATATTGCATGAGAGCAAATTTATAAATCGACGGCGAACAATGAGTGTACAGTGGCGTAAAACGCGTTCGATGCTCAAGCCGCGAAAGAGAAAGAGATTTCAGGACTATCGAGAAAATGATATAAATAAACAGGGATTATAAATGTTCCTCTGGTTTAGAGGAACCAGTCGAAGAACTAATGGGTACGACTTTTACGATTGTGTAAGCTACGAGATCAAAATAATTTCTCGAGTGTATCTTTTATCGCAATTTTCTCAAGAAAATAAGAAACAGATATTTGCAATAATTTATTGTTCGATTTTTATGACAATTACAATAAAATATTACTAGATCCAATTAAATCTGATCTTTATGTTAAATAGAATTTATACATATATACATACAAAGCCGTTAGAAAATTAAATTTAGATCGAGCATTATAAATATATCACTGATAAATGTTTCTTTGAAACAAAACTGTTGCGTTCAAGTGAAACAACTTCATCTTAGCGAATAACAAAATTTATTGAATCTCATCGTAAATAATAATGTACGAGCCATAATTCTGTCGAGCCTAGGAACATAGCTTCCTCGTCTGGCCACATCAGGTGTTTACACTGCGATAAAATAACGCGCGCGCGTATGTACACTCCGTGTACTGTAGAATAACGAATGAATATGCGATTAAGAGGGAACCATCTTTGGGTGACTGAATGATCTCCTCGGTTCCCTCTGAGATTACATCAAGCGCATGTGTGGTTTCTCTCATTTAATTACCAGCTCACATATATATATATTATACGTCCAACTCATTAATTTAATTTAATTTAATCTCGTTAAAAATCGATAACAGAAAGAGACCGATTTATATGTATATTTCGTCATTTCGATTATTTAAAAAAATAATCTCTTACTATAGAGTTTTTGTTTGCAACATATTTCTTTTTTTTTTCAATATTTATCCGTATTTATACCGACAAACAATGCATGTAGAAACGCGATCTAGGAAAACGAATGCACTTCCTAAGCACCGGCTTAGCTGGATTATGCGTAATGTCACCGCCGCAAGAGAAAGATTGAATAAACCTGTGAGACAGCGCCGCGGTGCATCTCTCCCCTTTTTACGATAATCAAGATCGACGGCGTTGAGCCGATCGCCTCACGATGATATTCAACGTTGAATCTCTGCTTAGCGCTTATTTTCAGTGTGTTATTTTCGTGGCCACTCAAGCCGTTAAATCCCCATCGCCCTAAATGCGGCGCATAATGACGAACCCGCTGCGCGTTTTATACGCGACGCTTTTTTTTATAGATCTGCTATTGGGTCAAACGTTAAAATTCTTTGGAAAATGCTTACTTTGTTTCTATGAACAAATCACTGATTAAATGATAAAAAATTATAATATTAATATTTTCGAGATTTGAGTAAAATATGTGATAAATTCACGATAAAGATTTTTTAGTAAAAAATATATTTGCACGGATCATCAAATCCTGACGTTGTTATTTCGATGTAAAACGTGACATTTTAATGTTCGCAACATAGAGCATATTTATTGTTCCTTTCAAGTCGGAAAATACGCCCGGTTATTTTCGCAACATATTGTCACGAGTGACATGATGACTTTTGTGAGGTACTTTGAATAATGGAGCTTGCCATTTATCTTTTCCACGCAGGATTAACAAAGTTTGCTAAAACTGCAAACACTTAAACGTCGAGCATATAAAATGCTTAGACGCAGACAACGACGGCGACAAAGAGGCTGGCCGACGACGTGTGTCTTCTCGGTAGAGTCAGTTGAGGAAATTCTGTTCTGCTCTCGAGACGACGAGAAATCTCACGAGCTATTAAACGAAACAGATACACAGCAAATAAAGACGTCGTCGCGATTTTGTAAAGCGAGGGCACGCTGGAACGATCGGAGCAAACTTCTGGCGCCACGTTCTCACAATAATGAAGACGAATAGTCGCCACATAAACATGTCAAATACGTTCAAGCGAGTGAAAGCTGCGATCTCTTGTCGGCGGTAGAAAAATAAAACAGTGGTCACCCGCAGAATCTTTTCACTGTTCGACGAACATTATTCAGATCTTAACGTCTCTCTCCAAACACGTGTGTTATACTTCTTATGTATTACATCTTAGTTTTCGTCTTGTGCTCATAACGTTACAAAGACATATATATGATAGCGATTAAAATTTACATTAAACATTTTACAAAGAAAGGGAGATAAAGAATGGGAATTTGCTCTGCCAATCTGTAACTTTTATCTTCAAATTTTACACATTAAAAAAATTATAGCTTAGAAGAGTTTTTTGCCATATGTATTAAAAGAGATAACAGTTTCTTGCGCGCAAAACATTAGTATTGAGAGACAGTAACAGAAATATTTGTAAAAATTGTACAATTCTTGTTGACAAATTCTGGACAATTAAGATTCCGAGTTCGAATCATATGGCAGGAAGTTGCACATTCTCTCTGCTCCGATTATATTATTCTGCCATTCTAAAAATACGCATTGCCGACAACACTTAGCCGCAAGAATGCGTTAAGCGAGACTTCCTACTCAACACATTCGAAACATACTAGCTATTCAAACATAACTTTACATCACAGACACCGAAACTCGATTGTGCGAATATTACCTGAAAGTTCGATTAACTTCGTCGTCTTTGGGTGTCGCCGCTCATTCTCATGAGGGATAAACCGCATCCTCGCGCGTCCTTAAATTATCCATAATTAAGCGCCACCACTAGCGTTTGAATTATGCTAATAAAAGTGATATTTCTCGAGCTGTGGTTGGTTCAGTCGAGGTAATATTATGATGCTATTAGTATACAAGGTTGATCGTTTGTTCCAATTAATATCCTGCGATACCTTCGTTCTTTTTATGAAAAGCAAAGTAATACTTTAGACTTTTTCCTTAGACACAATTATTCTCGTCATGCTGCGTTTTTCATTGACGTGAACGTGATTAATAGATGTGTATAATAATTTGCATAAACACCATCGCGTCATGTGATCTGAATCTAACAACCGGAAGTTTTCATATGCAATGACGGATAATGCACGAATAATGAGAAATAAATTTTTTTCATGCTCTATATAAACTCAATTAAAAAACTTAGTACAATTTTATAAATTATATAAAATTTATAAATAATCAGAGTTAAAACATATTTGCTGCGTCAAAATGAGCTATATAAGAAATAATTTTATTTTTTTATTCATAAACTCTTTATGTCGTTATATTGTTAGTTATTTTAATTATTCCAAGTTTTAACTCCCTCATACAATTTACTATTTTATTTTACTTAATATAATATTTTATTCGTCTTATATAGATTCTATTTTACATGTTTCCCAGAAATTTATTCTAGCTACCATATCCAATGACGTTAACTACGCATCGGTGCATTAACCTCCGTCGAAAATATATGCGCGCATTTTCGAAGAATTTCTGCCATGTATGTAGATAAAGCTACGTTCTCTCTCTCTCTCTCTCTCTCTCTCTCTCTCTCTCTCTCTCTCTCTCTCTCTCTCTCTCTCTCTCTCTCTCTCTGAAAGACTCTTATCAGCATGAAACGAAGAATCTATCTCCGTGTAACACTTTTTTTATTACCTCGTAGAAGCCGAACATCGTCGATGAGAGTCTCTCATCGTCGATTGAAAAAAGATCAGGGACCAAAAAAATAATAGAGAAACAATTCAATTTGCTGTGTCTTCAAAATTGATGAATTTTGAAAAATTTTTATAAACTCATCTGAATTTTTTGTAGATTTTAAATATTATTTATATATATATATATATATTTTTAATAAAACATGTTTTATCAAAACTGATTATTAACAAGAGAAATATAAAAACAAAAATTATTATAAATTTTAATTATTACACAATCTCGGTTATATATAATGGTTAATAAATTGTTTCATGTTTCACTTTACTTTTAGTCTCGTGTCAATCTTATATAATGGAATTACGCCATTTCACGTCAATGCAATGGTGTGAAAATTTTCATCCTTTACTTTCCCGTTCCTGAAGGAAAATTATCGTGATCGATCTCAGTGGTTAGGACCGGCAGCGCAATGTTCGTGACATATGCCGGAACATATTTAAGAACAATTTTGCCCACGTTTGACGTACGAGTTTGACATTGGGGCTGCGGCCGGCTGGCCGTGTTAATGGCGCGATAAATCACACGTCAATATATGTTAGTCGCGCGCTGCGCTTATGCCTTACCGTTAAAGATAGCAGCAAAAAGGGAAAGATGAGTAGATGCATCTTGAGGGGATTTTCGCTCACTCTCTTTCTCTTTCTGTCGGTCTTACTGTTGACGCATCTCCGCTGCAGCTTCCGGTGGATGTCGCACACTCTCCGCCTCGCACTGCGTCCGTCTGATCTTTATGTCATTTTTCACTTGCGCGTTACGATGTCAATTAATTTCTCTGTCGATTAAGTCTATCTTCGATCAGCGACAAAAATTTGTAAATCGCCGAAAAATTGTTCTTTTATGGACTCTTCCTTGTGACTTCCTATTTAAATATTTAATTTTTTATATAAAATTTAATTATTTATTTTTTTATAATATTATATGTATAATAGATATTTAGAACACACATTATTAATATATATGTTAGTATAGATAAATATATTTTTTTCACTAGTATATAAATAATTTTAAATTTTCCTTTTATTTGAATGAATTATTTTATAATATAATTATAATATAATTAATTTTTAGCGCAATAATTAATGTTTATTTAAAGATAATATTAATTAAAAGTTAAAGATTAAAATAATCTCTCTCTTGATTATCCAACCGTAATATTTAAATATAGTTATTAAGAATTTCTTTTACGTATGAACTCGAGGAATTCTTTCGTAATACTATCTTCTTTCAATACACATATCTTTTCGCGCGATTACCATATAATCCTGTATTATTGAATCTTCAAGTATCATTTCCGCGATATTTTGCGAATGGTAATGATAAGAACATTATCATAGTAACATTCCAAAGATAAAACCCGGCGAATACTGAGATAAATCGCATGGAATGCAATTACATCATCATCTTCATAAAATTCCGACGAGATTCGTAATTTTACGAGACCTTTATTGAACCTTTATGATAAGTTCAGCTTTGCATAAACGTTCAACAAGACATCTCTTAAGTGACGAGTTTATTATTTTGCATACATGTCTCTTGAATTTATTCACAATTATTTTCTATTTGTATCTCTTATTTTTTATATCATATCACACTTTCCTTGTAAAAATTAAATCAAAATAACGTTTTAAATACTTTAAGAACGTGGCTGGAATTTTTTTAAAAATAATGTAACAGTTCTTTTAGAAATAATGCACTAATGGATTAAAAAAGGAATCAAATATTAAATATTTTTATTAACATAATTTATGTATTTTAATAAAATATCAAATAATATGAATACACTTGCTACATTATATACATTTTTACATTTGAAATAATTTTGCTGTAAAGAGTGTGTCGCTATTCAATATTAATAATATTGTTAATAAATTGCAAGGGTATCTTTTTGCAATTATTTAACATAATTATTTTTTATCTGAATTTTATATCTGAGAAAATAGTTATCTGTTGGTGTTTTATGTGTTGTATTTATTATAATTAGAAAAACACATATGTTATTTTATTTTTTAAATCCAAGCAATAAACTAGAAAATCGATAGAGATTAATAAGATTATGATGATTAATGTAGTCAAATCTTACTAGCCATTGATTTAATTAATACCTCGCGACTTAATTATCGTTATAACTTGTTTGCATTTAAGCGATTGATTTGACATTCAAACCAAATGTTACGGCGTGACGCTAGAGAGGCTATCCAAGGCGAAGGAAATTGGATATTAGAGAAGTCATCGGTTGGCGTATGTGCATGTGAGTGCATATGCACGTATAATACTTTCATGCTCCAGTTGCTAGTGAGCGTTAGACAAGAACTTATATTACCCGTACGTCGACCTGTCGAAGGTGGAGTAGCCTGAAGCTAGAATTATCCGCAGATTGCACGGAATCGAAGATTTCTCTATTCATTTCCATATTATGCATTTCAAGATATCTCAAGATTTAGATAAAGAATATCCTGCAAAATTTTCTTTAAACGAAACTTTTCCTTCTAATTCGCAATCTTGTTTTATCAAAGTCAATCGATGAAAATCAATGAATGGTCTTCGGGAATGTTTAGTCCGTTAATTGATTTCCATCGGATGCATCGCAATTAATCTCGATTTACCAAATAGAAATGTTTCCGCGCAAGTCTAATGCCCGCGTTGCGAGATAAATCACCGACAAAGCCGCAGTCGCGTCGCTAATTATGCGACTGCACTTGCATAATCGGCCATGATAAATTCGCGGCCGAGTCGAGGCGCTCATTTTTGTAGAGACGAAACCCGACGCGACGCAACAAACGCAAATCAAATGCTCCGTTCGTCGCGGATATATTCTGAAATGCGATAGTTCCCCGAGATAATCTCAATGCACCGCATCGTGTGCTGCTACGCACAATGCTGTCGCGTAAGTGCACCGCACTTTTGTTCGGTGACAAACGTATACGTTCGCATAAAGTCGAAAAAAGATTGTCGGATCTGACAGTCCGTTACGGCGATAGCGACGCGTGTATTATTTACGCGCGCAAACGCGTGATAAATGCAAATTAACACGCGCGATATACGATCGTTAAATTGCATACGAATTGCTCATTAAGCTTACAATTATTACCGGCCCGAGAGCGCATGTCGCGCACGCCAGCAAATCATAGACCGGGCGCACGGATAACGAATAAATCGCGCACATGCATAATTGCGCGGAATCAGTTTATTCACTTTTTTGCAACATGTGTAGCCCTCAAATTGAAGATAATTATCGTTTTGAAGAAAAAATTTCATGCGATTAATATGTCGTGCGATATACGTAGCTCACTTTACTTGGAATCGCTATTTTATTGATATCTTATAATATTGCATTATAATTTATGCAACATAAAAGTGTAAATTAAAATTGCAATAGCTCTTTTGTCGACAAGGCGTATTAACATTTTATATGTCATAAATTCTCACTTTTTCTCTATGAAAAAAGTTACGTTAAAATCGAATTATTAAGAGAACATTTTCGCTTTCATGTAAATAATAAAATAATGAGCGACCCGTTAATTTGTTAGAATCTTCCGCAATGTAATAATTATTATTTTTAAATCGCTATGTGATAAGTAAACAGATCTTTTATACAAGTGTACGTTGAAAATATCACACGCATATTCAGAGTGCGTATAAAAGCTCTCATTGGGAAATTATTTGCATTTCCGTGTATACACATTTTCTAAACATATCGTTGTTTATTAGACGTCTAACTTTATTGCAGCGAAAACACGTCGCATCGCGACGCAATGGAGCATTTAAGGGGAATCTTCTTACGCAAGTCGCGGTGTACCGTTTATTTTTACGATTATCGAACCGCCAGTATTACCGCACTATTAATACACGTTTGCAAAAGGCGTACTTGTGAACAAGATTATAAACAAGAAGTAATTTTTGAACAAGTAGTGCGACATCTAACTAATTATAGCTTTACACATTTTTGACTGCACTTTGTTAACTGCTGCGTTAGCAATTATGCAAACCGCGATAATCATAAGAATGAAACTGGACGGTATTACGCGAGCTCTAATCATCGAAATAAATATAGTTTGTTTAACCATCGTTACGTATAATTAAAACATAATTTATTATGTATAATTTTTATTAATAAAATCTATTTTTGTTTAATCTGCGTGATTTATGTATAAAATTATATTAATTGCTGCGTGATAAATCTCTATTTAAACTATATTTTACAGAGTTATAATTTAAAATAAGTAATGCATATTTATATAACTGTCAATCCTAAGAATATTTTTTAAATTTTATTTAAAGCGTTGAAAAATTATTTACGTCTGCATTAAAAAGTTACCAACATCAAGTTGTGATCGATGCAGTCACTTGACTAACCTGTTGCATTAAGTAGTAAAGTCAACTTTTTTATTTAATTTGATATGTATATAATTAAATTATATTAATTATACTGTCGTGTTAAATCACACTTTATTCAAAATTTTACAGAGTTATAACTTAAAATAAAGTAATTGCACATTTCATAACTGATTCTAAGAATATTATTTTTTTTGTTAATTTTGCTTAAAGTGTTAGAAAACAAATCTTTATACCTACAATTTAATTTAAAAAATGTTGAAATCAAGTTCTAAACGATGCAACCACTTGACTAACCTGTTGCGCCGAGTTCAAATTGTACGTGCGACTGTTGACAGAGAACGAGCACACACTAAAACCGAACACGGTAGCCAAAATCAACTTTCACATCAATCACAAAATTGTCTCCCATTCGTGAATTTGCAAAGCAAATTATTATCACATCTTGGTGATATGAGATTCATTTCAATTAACCGCACTTTAATTACACAATTATCTCAAATGAATAATGTTTGTGTGTAGGTGCGCTCGGTTTATAAACTAATTTATCGCCGGTTAATTCACCAGCTGATTGATTCACCAGCGATTGATTCCGATCGATGAGCAAAACAATGTTTATCAATATTGCAATTGCAAATATGCAGGGATACGGAATATCTGCACACAAGGGACTTTTATCACCTGATACTTTCTTCGATATTATCTCACGCGTAAAGCTAGACAAAGTGTAGCAAGAGATGCATGTTGTAGCTCGGATGAAGAGACCGAGAACCGAGTTCCTCTGTCAGAGGTGTCGTTTCGTACTGACGGCTCCCGTCGATGCAGGACTGACTTTATACGCCCGCGTGGAGTCGCAGAATAGAGCTTTGGGTGCCTCCGCCATGGCGCCGTCACCTGGCAACTAAGTATAAAAGACGTTATTTTAATAACGATGCAAGTCCATTCTGTTCTTTGTTTTATGATGTAAAGCTTAGAGTAACACAAAAAAATGTTCAGAAAATATATTGATTAGGACAGACTTCTAGCTATCATACAATTCATTGGAGAACACACATTCGATGATATTATATAAACTAAATATACATTTATCTTCAAAATATTATAAATATCAAAAAAGAGTTTTTATACAAAATTTCCGATAATAAAATATTAAATATATTATTTCGAAAAACAGGTCAGAAATTAATTTATTAATTTATAAAATTACTTTATTAATGTTATTTAAAACCTATATATAGAAGTCTGTGTTTAAAACACAAACGTAAATTTTGCGACACATCCACTAAAATTAAACTGTGATAACAGTTTATATCTAATCTAAAGGTGAACCTGAGATATACGGTTTATGTGTGTATGACATTTGTGATATTATAATTAATTTGTAAAATTAATATTGTAATGTTTTTGGGATTGTGGTATTATAATTAGCAGAGCTGCAAAATATAGATTTTTTCCAGAATATTGTTTTTTCTTATTCATTAATAATGAAGTCTTGAACGAATATGACAATTTCGATAAACTTGATCGATCTCTTCCCTTCTACAGAGCAAAAAGAGAAAAGTTGCAACCGGTCGTACGTCAAAATGTTATCGCGAAGCATCGATACAATATGTAATATACACATAAAACATATCTCGGCTATTCACCGCTCTCTCTAGATTATTTATTTACATATATTTTTACACATAAAGTTTTCTTTTGTACAAATACATTCCGTTCATGTTATTATTTCCTATATACTAACTTGTTAATCTTTTTTTAATATTTCTTAACATACAATATTAAAAAGCACTGATCTACATTGATAAATTAGTTTCTAAATTATACACAAATTCAAGCGTGCTCTGAAAATACCGTAATTAATTGAGAAAACCTATTACTTGAAGCGATTTTCGAGGGAAACGATGACAGCAGCTGACACTGATAAGCCGGTCGACTTTCGCCGGAGTAACTTAACATCTCATTCGCAGCCTAGACGCGTCCGCACGAACAGCCTGTAATTAGCGGCCGACTCGGTGGCGATTTAATAAGTTTCCCCGAGCAAATTATCGAGTGGGGCGCTACGTAGATAGAATTAGCCACGCCGGTCCGTCGGCTGATATCACTAAATTACTGCGTTCCTAGAGCAAGGAGTGCGTCCGGAGTCTTGCATCTTGTATTATCGTCGTTCATCAGCCTCCGCTATGTTCGCTTACGCGAGGTATAAATAAATATATCGGGTCATCCTCTCGATCGCACCGTTAAAGTACGAGAAATCATTTTCGTGCGATATTATCTTATATTCACTTAAGTATCTTTCTGCGAACTAACTGATCGTTTTGAGAAAAACCCCTCGGCAAAATGCAAAGCATTTCCTACACAACTATAGTCAAATATATAAGTGTGTGTGTTCGGTAGTTTAACTTGAATAAATCGTTTAAAACATCATAATAAAAATGACGCTGGAAAAATTAATTATAACAGTATATATTCTACAATGTATTTTAATACTCTTATGCACTATTATTTTTAAAATAGCTTACATACGCGCGCGCGCGCGTTTCATGTTATTTTTAATTTTTTTAAATTATATGTTTAAAGAAAAGTATCCCTCTCTATAATAATTTAACTAATATAAATACTATTAAAATATGTACATGTATATATATATATATGTGTGTGTGTGTGTGTGTGTGTGTGTGTATTTCAGAAAAATATTTAAAAATATTATCTAGAGAAAAAGTAATCAAAGAAAAAAGATAAATTAGTGCGTAATTTTATTAGTATACAGTAATGATTATGACAAAGCATCCATTTAAATTACTTTATTACGGTTGTCTTAGCATAATACTAATAATTAACAAGATTTAAACAATCTATCAAATCTTTCAGTGACATACGATTCAAATGTTTGGATGTAATATGGTGATTATAGCGTGGCAAGTGGAGCTAATTACATTCAACTCATATACTATAGCTACCTGCTTTTTGCCGACACCGCTTGCAGTGTCATTGACTTGATGACACCATTCATCAGGATCATTAATGTTGCGTCATAATTATTCGATTCAGACGATAACGATCGATGGTTTAAGAGCATTGTGCCTACAAGCATATACTGTTGTTGCTTTGATCGATTCGATGCGTCACAAATGCAGTTTACGAATCAATATCGCTTCAGCTCTGGGAATAAATTATATTTGAAAAAACAAATTTGTATTTCATAGCTAAAATCATAGATCGATAGAGACAACTGTGTCTCTTCGAGCCCGCATTGTGCAACTTGAATAAATATATCAGCCCGGCGCTTAATGCTCCATTTTTTCTGGAGATTCCCGAGGAGACTGTTATTTATTAACGTGCGGAAATAAACGCGCAATTCATTCGCGCTAATGGTATCTGGTACATGCATAACTTATCGGCAAAATCCGCTTCACTGCCGCAATGAGCAGCGGTTTAATATTAGGCGCTGATCTGCGCGTCCGTGTATTCTGTCTTGCGTAATTGGCAGGAAGAGCAAATATTTGCAACACAATTATTACGGCCGGTTTGTCCGCAGAAACGCGAAAATTTCGCAAGCACGTAAGATTAACCCCCTTAGGTGCGTTGTAAATGGCTTTTTAAATACTGCGAGATATATGTATTGTATATACAGAAATACGATTATGGAGCATATCACTCAGATTTATTTCCATGTAAATCAGCGTAAAATAATGACGTCATAAATCAACGGCAAAGAGTGTCTTGTAATCGACCATTTCGGAAAAATTTATTCACCATTAGCGCGCGCTGAGTTCTCGACTTTCAGTTCTTAGTTGCACCCATATATACGACATTCTTAGTCGAAAGGTTTATACATTAGGCGATGTCGCAATACGAACATTCCTGAAGATTATGGTGCAAATAATTTAATACAACTTTAGTGCGAAAAAAATGTCATTAATGCGCATATTAACACAATATAATAATAATAACTCATAGAATGAACAAGTCGGCTAAGTTACGTTCTGGCGAAGTTAAATAAAGACAAATTAATAGCAATATACATACACATACGTATGTATTTCTTATTTCGCTAAACTTACGTTTACACGTGTAAATACTGGCAATAAACGACGAGCGTTTTACAAAACGAGCGGATTAACGAGCGGAATAACCATGAAGTCAACGCACATAAACGTATATAAATTTAATAAAAGCTGGATAGATGCGCGATCGAGAGAGATCGCATATCCGCGGATGAGCCTCGACTTGCTTGACGACAATATATCTTCATTCTGATCATTGATTATGGCAGAATAAGGTCTTGATAAAACGTAAAGGCTCTCTACGCCGCGTGGAAATGCAGCGATAAGCCGCGTGGGAATTTCTAATAGCGATCTATACGTGAATGGCTCCTCGTCGTGATGTATAACGTAATCTTTATTTAATCTCGCCACTTTGCGGAATGGGAGTTTTCCCTTCCAACGATTTGTTCGTTTAGTGACGCTTTTTCCGCGACCCGAAGCAGCGATTTGCCTCTCAATAAAACCGACGGTTGCTCGTCGAGGCCTGATTCATGAGAATCATGCCGTTGATAATTTCGCGTTATCGCTAATGCCTAGGTGATTAACGTGCCATCGCTAAGTTCGTCCTCTTAAATACCGCTACTGAACCTGTTCTCTTATCATCACCCGCGCAGAGTATACGCTTATAATTTTATCGATGAGACGAGAAAATTACTCCTTCGCATTCTAATACTATCTATCTTAATTAGGCAATTCAGGAAACAGGAATTTGTCGATTGTATTACTCAAACATTTGAGAAATTCTGAATATTTATGACTCCCTCAAGTGAGATCAAGGGAGTTCTTCGTAATTAATATGAAAAACTATTTAGAAAATTAGTGTAACATTTTATATCAATATATAGCAATATATGGTATATTACTTTGTTCTTGCGGAATTAATTTTGTACTTATCAAGAAATTATTATATATGTATATATATAAAATAATTTATATAACATAGTCGATAAGTAAAAGAAATTTTCTATAATGCAAGGATTCTTGCGGAATAAAAAAATAGAATAGATCTATTAAAATAGATTAATCCTTTTAACAAACATAATATAATTTAAGTAAAATAAAGCAATTGATATTAGAATAAAAGAGGAGAGAAATGCGATCGTAACTCCGTATTAAATTGAAGCTCTCCATCTTCTTTCCTCCACAGAATCTATTATTAATTCGTAAGTCCCTCATAAAGATTCAGATTCAGGAACTTGCTGCGATTTGCCCGGTGAATTATGCAGTCATGTGCCACTGGCGCCGATATTTAAAGACAGCCAGATCGCGGACAGATTTACGCATAATTCCAGCGTGTAATTCCGCGCTTTTAACGAGGCAGCGTTCAAGCCGTACGTCACTCTTCATAATCCGCCGTGTCTGTAAATGCCTTCTAATCGAGATCTTACGTCGCGATCTAGTTTGTGTCGAAATGACGCTAATTTCCTCTAACAAACATTTTAAAAATATTTCACTCTCCGATAATATCACGATCGCTAATTAGCAAGCGGCTGTAAAACGCAGCACTTTGAAGTTATACCTCGTTGATATTTGATGGAGTAAAATTATTTTCCTTTTTAAGAAAAATACAGCTCATAGATTTTTTTTTTTTTAGAAAATGTTTTACTCCAGTTTCTACTCCAGAAACAATTATCGAACATATTTACGTCTAGATTTATTATTTTCATTTTAGATTAATATAAAACTAATACATATAAAAGATACATATATAAGATCTAATACATATAAAAATAGTATAAGATTAAAATAAAAAAACTAATATATTTTTATTTTAATCTTAATGTTTATCAAAATAAATGATCTTTTTTGTAAAAGAAATAAAGATTTTAGCATTTTTTACAATTGTTACAATAATGATTAATAATTATTTAATAATTATTAATTGGAAAATATTAAACCAATAACAATTTATGATGTAACTTTCGTTCAAGGGTTACGAGAGCTATATAAAGCTTTCACTTTTACGTTTTCTTTATTTCTTTACGGAGTGTTGCCCCGGGTGACAAATAAATTACGTTATTGCGTCATTGGGAATACGATGAAATTGGCAAAACCTTTCGCGAACAGCGAAATGCGCACGTACAATTTCCGTTTCAGGAGATAATATCAGCCCTTCCGGATCGATCCATTGGATCACAATCGATCTATCGACCGAGACCCGTATTATTTGGAAAATTACGGTCTGATTCCGGTCCATATTTTATAATGACGGCGCATTGTTACGTAGAGTGCGGAAGCCTTCCAGCAACTATGCAACTTCTTGTCACGACGGTGCAATATCTGCACTTGATTTTTATTTCAATTCTGATTAACGGACAAATCTCGTTAGTTGCATGTCTTGTAATTTCTAACGGGGCATGGTGCAACTATAATAATTGAAGATAATTGCATATTTATATAATAACGTTCTAAATATTTGCCATAATATTAAATATTATAATATAATATAGTAAATTTAGAGTCTAAAAAATGCAAAATAATATTTAGATATTTTATCTAGATTTAATATCTAATATAAATAAGATTTTATAATCAATAAGTTCTTCACATATTATATGAATGTATATTGTTCTTCATATATATCGGCTAAATATAATGTAAATATAATTTATCGAAACTTTGCAATATTAAATAAATTTAATTAAAAAAGTTATTTTGTAGTTGACCGTGTTTTTGTTTTATTTTATTTATTAAAAATTAATTAAACGCATATACTGTATTATGAATATATTATAGACATGTATAAATGAATATATTATATATATATATATATATATATATATATATATATATATTATAGACATGGAAATTAGGACCATTTTATATAAGATCGGTATTTACAAGTAAAAGAGTATATTACACAGGTACTTTGTAATAATTTTTAAGACATATACAAATTATAGAGAATTAGTAAAAAAACTAGTTGAAAACCATCAAACTTAAGCATACTCAGAAATGATGTCTATATTAAAAATGTACTCATCTATATCTTTGTTCAGTCGTGAAGAATATAACTTTATTTTTGAAAATCACTTCATATATTCTTACGGACGAACTCATCGGCCATCACAATATCTCGCTGAAGGACTGTCACTGCCTCGTCGATCAGATCTTGCTCATATTTTGTGACCGTACCATATCCGAGATTTCTGTGAATGCCACGTGGTCCGAGTAGCAATTCGTTACTAAAGAAACGCGCATTGGTCACCGTCGATTCCACATAAGCGGAAATGATCACGTGCGGCTCGTGATGAATGGCACGACATAATTTATGAATAAAATACAGCGTCGCTGATGCCATTGAAAATGTAGATCCGCCTGCTCCTTTCTTTGCCTAAATGTTCAACATATATATCTGAATAGTTGTATTGTTCGATAAATCTTATTCTGAAAAAAATTTTATTCTAAATCTGATCACGTATAGTAAGCATATAACATTGAATTTTACGTTAATTATGTACACGATAAAAAATATATATTTATATATACACTCACTCCAAAGAAAAGCAGTACACTTAAAATTTGGAAAAAATCACCAAATTTCAAATGACGGTAACTTTATAAATAATAAAGATAGAAAAGTTTCTAAAAAATGAAAATAAAGCTTAGAACCTCTACTTTAAGAATCTATTTATTTCAACGTTACGAAATAAATTTATTAAAAATGGCGAATAACGAAACTAAATCATGCATCATTGAAAAATAATGATCCCAGTGTGCCAAAGCACATAGTGTGAGGCAAATGTCACAACTCAATGGGACAAAAAGCATATGATAGTATACAGTCTCCCCTTTAAAATTCTTTTTTATTCGTCTCGATACAATGATTTTTCGCAGAGTTATTGGCATTTAAAGTAAAAAGCAGTCTTTTTATTCAAATGCGAATAACTCTGCAAAAAATCATCGTATCGAGAAGAATAAAAAAGAATTTTAAAGGGGAGATTTTGTACTATCATGTACTTTATATTTCATTGAGTTGTGACATTTGACTCGTGCCATGTGCCTTGGCAAACTCGGACTATGATTTTTCAATTTTGCATGTTCTCGTTTTGTCATCCGCCATTTTTAATAAATTTATCTCGCAACATTAAAATAAATAGATACTTAAAGTAGAAATTCTAAACTCTGTTTTTATTTTTTAGAAACCTTTCTATCTTTATTATTCACAAAGCTATCGTCATTTTAAATTTGGTGGTTTTTATCCAAATTTTAAGAGTATCGCTTTTTTCGGAGTGCGTATATTAATAAGAAAAATATTTTTTTATTTATTTATAAAATAATTGCATCTCTTACTTGAACAATTTTTTTCCCAGCATCTCGTACAAGTTGGATTAAAGTTCTGGTTTCTTCCTCCGTCAAAGGGACATTCGGCCTCGCTTTAGAAAATAAAGGAACTGTAGTGTTCTCCGCATGACCACCCACGACAGGAACGTAAGTCTTTCTTGGTTCCTGTCCAATGGCCTCCGCATAGAAACGCTCCGCTCGCATCTGGTCGATCTGACAGACGCCGAAGAGCCTTTCAGGCCGATAAACCCCGCGTTTCTTTAAGACTCCTGCCGCAACTGGCACCAACGAGTCCAAAGGGTTCGTCACTATGGCTATCAGAGCATCAGGACATCTGTCTGCGCAGATATTGATTATGTCTCTGCAGATTGCAGCGTTCTCCTGTAGCGATTGATGTAAGTATATGTAAATAAAGTCTTCGTGGGAGGTTGCATCTTAAATTAGACCTAATATTTTAAAGTCGTAATTAATCCAATAGAGATTAATAATATATAATAAATAATAATATATAATGTTATATATAATATAATAGTATTTCATTGTAATTGTATTTCAGAAAAAAAATTTAAATAAAGATAAAATTACATGGGCGATTAAATGTATAAATATAAATTAAATAAAACAATAATTAAAATATTTTTTAAACTATATTTGTAAAAAAATAGCAATCCGACATCCGTATCATTTAGTTATCTTTATAAATAATATTTATGCGTTTTTTCTACATAACGATACGTATAGCAATACATTAATAAAGAAATTATAATATATATGACATCAGAATATTTTATTATAACAAAATATATAATAGGTTAAATTATATTGCTATAATTACCGTGAATAATTGCCTTCTTCGCATATTAGGTCTTCTGGGCGCTCCAGCAGTCACGACAACTAAATCGGCATTTTGTAAGCCCAAGGGTAGTCTATCTATACCCTTAAATCCTCGAACGGGCAATCTCGTAGGTATATGATTTAGTTCTTCTACGATTCCTTCAGGATCGCTTCGATTGCAAAGTCGGAGCTCGGTAAGACCACCCGGATATGTCTTCAACAGGTGTGCTAAAGACTTGCCGACTCCGCCAAGACCGACGATAGCGACTCGACACCTTCTGATATACCTCAATTCCTCGCGTTCTTTCATGGGATGCTCGTTTCTCATACGATTAAAACCCATACATCCTCGTCTTTCGATTTTTTGAAGAGATTTGCGAATCAGCCTTATGGCATTGTACATTTTGCGACTAGATGAGAATGACAAAATTCCTACTGTAAAATGTATGACACATAGATATATGCATACATAATACTTACGTAAGCTTAAATTTTTAAAAAATATTATTTACTTAATAATAAATTGTTATTATTAATATTATTAGTGTATATCAATTTAAAAGAAATTTGAAATAATAAATTAATATTCTTTTCATATAAAATATGAATTATGAAAAAAGTTTATTAAATTGTACCAAATTTTTGTAAAATAAAAATAAATGATATCAAAGTAAGTTAAAAAATATATTTATAATGAAATTAAATAATTACTACCATTTTCTTCCTGAGAATGTGAGGCAAATTACCAACGATCGAAAATGTGGATGGTTACTTTAGCCGCGATAGCTGGAAATGCATAATTATTGTATAAAAATTCTTGTGTAAATTATACTCTAAATAATAACAAAATTTTGAATAAGCATAATTATAAAAGCCCGTCAATTACTATTAATTTACTATAAATTTTCCATAATATCATATTGCTACATTCGCGATTCTTCAGAAATCGATACTTGTTTAGCATTGCATATTACATATTTAGATAGCTTTAACTTCAAGATTCTTAATATGTCATATTAAAAGTGCGTGATTTTACTATTTGTCTAATTTCGCTTACATATGAAATAGCGCATAATATCATTTTTAATAATTACAATAATATTACAATAATATTTGTAAAAAATAAGAATGGGTCTTAATTGTGCGAGACCCGTTGATCCTTTATGTGCTTTAATTCCAAGAAGCAACGAGCTCGATGTTTCACCGATTAAAGAATCAAGATTGCCGATTATTTTCCTGATTGGAGGCCCAGGAGCAGGAAAAGGTTTGTTGAGTTTTCACATTTACGATATTCAAAAATAAACTTTTAAAATTATAAATTAATAAAATCAATTTTCTTTTTTTACTCGTTTATAAATTCTAATTATTGAAGATATACAATAAAAAAATATGTCAAATTTATAAAATATTCTGTAAAATTTTAACTAAACCATTGTATTATTATAACACTGATATATGTCATGATAATATTTTCATATATGTATATGAACAAAATAAAGTAAATAATGCATTTTTCATCGAGTAATTAGATTGAAAAATAATAAACTAAAAAGAATCTCTTTTTCTCTGCAGCAACACAGTGTTTACGAGTAGCAGAGCATTATGGTTTTTGCACTATTATAACCAGAGAATTGCTGCGTAACGAAGTAGCAACCGGTTCGCAGAGAGGTGTTATCCTGGCGTATCTAATGTCCAATGGTAAACTAATTCCCGCGGATGTCATGGTGGAGCTCATCAAAGCGAGGATGCTGAGCAGCTTGAGTACGTCGCGAGGTTTCTTGGTGAGCGGATTTCCTCGGGAAAAATACAATGTAAGCAGTTCAACGCGCACATCCGGACGCCGGATCTCGTCCTGTATCTGACGGTCAGGGATTCGTTGCTGATGGACAGAATCCTAGCTAGAAGCATCACCGCCACCGAGCGACAGGATCGCAGGATCGAAGAAAATTTACAGCGGATCAAGGACCACGACAAAATGACCAAACCGATTCTAAGATATTACAAGAAACAGCTGGTGATCATTAATGGTGAGAACGACGAAGGGGAAGTCTTCGAGGATATTTGCAATGCGATCGATAATCTCCTGAAGAACTTTCCGAGCACGTCTGAAAGCGGCGGTCAATTAGAACTTGTTCAAACATGATTACAGAAAAAACAGTATCCTTGAAAGAATGCAAATATGCCTTGATTCAAGTATATTTTATCCTTATAATAGCGCCAAATATAAATAATTTTGGATAAAGGATAATTTATCCTTAAAACAAAGTGCAAAATAATCTTGGTTGAAGTTGAAATTTACTTATAAATATTGCAAGGACAAGTGACAAGTGTGCATCGGATATAAGCGGTACTTTCAAATATATATATAATAATTCTTAGTTCAAATGTGACTAAGTTTGTTTTTATCATATGCGATTTTTAAAACAAGAATATATCTTAAGGATAAAATATACTTTACACAAACATATTTATTATTAAAGCAAATGAAAATTTGTGATTACAAAGAGCATTCTATGCTTAAATCAATCAAATAGCGTTCAAGAATAAAAATATACTTGAATCAAGGATTCCTTTTTTTCTGTGATGTGTTGAACTAGCAATATTTGATCTCAGTCTCGATTATCATGTAAAATTATATAATAATGTTAATGATGAAGTTTGGATTATACAAACCTACATATATTAAAATAAATGTTATAGATATGTATAGAAATTATAATTATTATCGTAATAAATATATATGAAAAAAAATTGCTTTAATATATCGTCTGATTGATAAGTCAGATATCACAAAATTTGTTTTTGGAAATCTATTTCCTTTTAAATATCGAATCTTCGCGTTTCAATATATCAACATTCGGAATATGAGCAAAAGGGTGGATAAGCTAAGGGTGAACCAAGGGTAACTGTACTAAGCAACCGAGAACTGTTCGTTTTTATTCACCACCGATAAATTACCCTTATTCGATACGTATAAGAAAATATGAAATATTCAAAACAATTAACGCAGAATGACAATTTATATCTCATTATACGCATAAATATATTGAACTATAAAAGTTTTTGCAAAAACTTTATGTGATATTTATATCTATATCTATTACACATTTTTATATTCACAATACATACAAAATTATGATATTTCTATACAAAATGATTATTGTTACAGAATTTCTGCATAGCATTATTTTTAAAATTTATTCGATTTTATTATCCAAGTTGTTTAAAATGATGCCGGTTATATTTAAATTCTGAGAAAACGAGGCCTTTAAATATATAATATTTTTATAAAAAACCATTGCAGTTTTATCGTTTTCTTTAAATGCAACAGAAGCCCCCTTTGCGCTATTAAATATCATTATTATATCGAAGGTCATAATTTTTTTATTCAACAGAATCTTGGCGCATAATCTCTCGTTATATGTGTGAGTATCCGTGCTAAAAAAGGTTCTTTTTCTGAGAACTCATGTAGAGCGACACATATCCGTACTTTATCGTACATGCATGAAAATAACGTTCATCTAAGGAAGATTGCACAAAGACGCGCTAAGAAAGCACAGGCGTGTAAATTTGCGGGGTGATGCTTGAGATGTGCGCACCGATCGGAGCATCCCCTTTGAGGTATTCATCGAGGGAGGAAGAGCAACTTCCTCTTCGCTGCTCGTTCTACTTTCTAACGTGGTATTAAACGAGACGAACGAGAGTTTGATGGATGTCTCGCAAATATTCAGTTTCTAAGAAATTCTATGTATATACGTGTATTCAAATGGTTGCATTGATCGTAAAAACTTTAATCATTTAATAAGAATTATATGAAATATTACAATTGCAAAAATCTGTAAAAATGTTCATCTTGCGATCTATAAATCTTGTGCAACATATAAATTCTAAAATCAAATCAAATTAAATTCACACACGGTAAATAACATCTTTTATTTGAATGAATTAACAAACAATATTAACTTTTACATTTTTTATATATAAACAACTTGGATAATAAAATCGAATAAATTTTAAAAATAATGCTATGCAGAAATTCTGTAACAATAATCATTTTGTATAGAAATATCATAATTTTGTATGTATTGTGAATATAAAAATGTGTAATAGATATAGATATAAATATCACATAAAGCTTGGATATCCATCGTAATAAATTGCAAAAATGATAAATAAACTGATCATAAATCAAGGAAATAAAAGCTACATAAATATTTAATATATATACTATATTTTCGTTAATACGCGAATATAATATTGAAAATTAATTCAGTACTCAATCAAAAAATCAAATATTTCACGATGAGACATCGGAAATGGAAACTCGGAAATATCATAAAAATTTATAAACTTCGACCCGTTTTTAATTTTGAAGACGTTGCGATAAGTCTGTATCGCGAAAAGAGATGACATATAGGTGTATAATTTAAAGTCGATCACAAACACGTATAACTTGATATAACGTAAACATTTCCCTTACAACATATTCGAATGATTGATCAGCGTCGCTGTACCGTTTCCACCCCCGTGCGCACCCCGAGCCACCCCATGTGTCGGAACGAGAACGGGCGCGCACACACCCCCGCTACTCATCCCCGACTTTCCACGCGGCTTTGTACCCCGAATTGCGATTGTCTGCGTGTCCACGCACACCATCACGTCGACGACAAGTAACTCGATGGTTGTGTGTTTGCATCCCCTGTCGCCATCCCTGAAGCGCGGGGGTGGTTGGCTGCGTTTATGAGGCCGCGGGCCCGAAATTGAAAAGCATCCAGTCTCTCGCGCGGGGTAGTTGGGGGAGGGTTGGGGGAGAGGGCGCGCAGCAGTCACTGACAAGCGAAAGAGCGTATCAGAGGGTAATCCTATTGGTGGACGCCGGCGTCGCGACGTCCCGACATCATTGGTCCATCTGCGATCCACGGGGCGTGGCGACGCCGGTTTAGTAGGGGAGGAAGGGGTTGTTGCATCCCTGGCAACGATTACCAGAAGACAACCCCGGGGTACGGCAGGAATCCAGCATGGCGGCGACCCGGCAACAACCCCTTAGGCGCCACTCTCACCCTCACTGGCAAACCACCACAACGACGCGGCGTCGGTCGTTACCGATTACCCGCATCCACTTTCGTGGATCTCGCTCGATTTGTTCGAGGGATCACTTCAGGAATCGAAAGTTCGATCGCGCTCGATTAATCGCTCCGTTAGCGACTCCTTTTGAATTTTGATTCTTCGACGACGACCTGGAATTTTCTCCTCCTGGAGGAATATTTCGGGAGGGAGAGAGCTATCTATTTTTCAGATAATATGTCAACTCGGATATTTTTGACAAATGGAACGCCACGTTGAAAAATATTCATTTCTCTATACAATGCTCAACGCTTAGATTATTAGACGTGCTTTATTACAAATAAAAATATGTATATAATTTTTATATTAATAAATTATAAAATGGTGACTTTTTCTTATCATTAGATAGAGTCCATGAATTTTTGAAGCGCGAGTACTTAAAAAATCTCCGCGTCTTCTATCAATCTCATTCCAGCTAGATTCGATTAATTGACGTAGGATCAAAGGATCCGCCTGCTATTTAGCGTATCGTCACTTTTTATCCAGGCGCAACCGATGCGATGCCTCGCCGTCGCATAGCCAACCATCAACAATTGCACCGATGCTCAGGTACTCGTCGTTTCCCTGTCTATACCCTTCTGTAGGGGTAGTAGTTTGGTCCAGGCCGGGGTGGGAGATGCCAGGCGTCATCTCCCACCCCAGGAGGGGTTGGCGCAGGCGCGTCGTCGAGCGACGACGAGCGTCGCGGCGAGGCGCCGCGTCAAACGTGGAGGCTATAGGTTAAATCCTCCCGCTCCTCGTTTTTGTCGTTTTTCCGGCGTTGCCTCCTGATCCCGCCTTCAAAAGTGCCGCTGAACCAATCGGCGTCGGGCGTTGCTCGCCCGCTGCCTCCGACGGCACGGCAAGCACCACGACGACGGCGGCGTCGGCGGCTGTGACGACGACAACAACGACGACGACGACGACGACGACGACGACGACGTCATCCGCGGGTAACGGGCGACTCGCCAACGAGATCCCGGATCGGGACGCCGCAGACGTCATACGCCAATCTGACATCGACGAGCGATCTCGAAGCCGAACGTCATTCTTGACAGCTCGCAGCGTCAACTCGATTGCTCTTGTCAAATATCTTCTTACTTTGCGCTCAACGTCGTAATCGTGTCGGTCTAGATCGCGACTTTCAGACGTCTTCGGAATTCTTCGGCGAGGTGATTTTCGTGAATTTTCTTAACGTCGGTTGATGATCGCTGAATTGGAGAACTAAATGATCGTGGATTGAAGAGGGTGGAGAAATCAGTGATCGCGCGCAGGAAGTGACTTACGTGCCACAGTGCGGCTACGCTAAATCCTGGAGTTACCCTAGGTAAGAATTTGCAATGATTTATTTTATGAATAAGAAAAGAGGGAGACGAAGAAAAATAGAGAGAGAATATGTGTGTTTAAATATGGAAAATATAATCATATTTATTTTAAAAGAGCTAATTTACCTGTCTGTAGTAAAGATATATTGTACCTCTCAATTGGCTAAATCTAATTGATATTTTGTTACTTCAAATAAAAATTAAAGTTTCTTGAAATTAATTTTCTAGATCTAGAAAATACAAATAAATTTTTATTTAAGCTGAAATAGACAACAAATTCGATAAGCTGCAAAAAAATGATTAAATTTTTACATTCATGTATATGCTTTATATTGAAATCATAAGCCATATGTATAAAAAAATGCATATCAATTTTAGCGCGTTTGACATCGGCCTGATAACGAATGATCGAGGAGGCACGATGAACGGGGCAGCAACGGTCACGGCCTCTGAAGATCATCAGCATCAGCATCAACAAGCGCAGAATGAAACGACGTCGGAGCATCCACGAAGTCCTGCCAGTCCGCTGAGCGTCAGACACGGTGAGTTAATACGATGAGAAAATTTATAAATGCTAAAAATAATTAATTCAGATTACGCACTTACAACTTTTTTTTTTTTAATCTGAATTCATTACATTATTTTTCGAAACCTTAAATATTTTTAAGATATTGCGGTACATAGAAAACATGAAAAAATTTAATTCTATTTATGTACAAGCTTTTAATTCTCAACACCTACATGATAATAAAGCTATATGCATTATTGCACAGTTTAATAACGTCTGAAAATAAAGATGTATAAAGATATAGAAAGATTATATCAAGAACGGACATGCGTAAGTCAAAGGTATTTTTACCTTATTTTTTTATTAAAATTCATTATAGATTAATAGGGTGAGAGATTAACCTTCTTACATTCAACGTCACCGTCACGACATTTTTCTCGCATCGTAATGCGTAATGTAATGCGTAAACTTGCATCAACGCGCGATTCCTCTTTCCCCATTCACGTCGGGTCAGCCGAGATTTGATTATTCTAATGGCATAATGTCGTTGCCTACGTGCCACCCTCTTTTTCCACTTATCCCACCCCACAGTGACTGTGACTCGTATAAAAGTCCGTCGCGAGGGTGAATCTGCGTGCGTTTTGTGTTCCGTCGCGTCGTATCGTCTACCCTTAGCGACGGAACGCAAGAAATTTTTGCCCATTTGATTAACCCTCGTGATCATTTTTTCCCTTCCAGAGCTTATCATGTAATTATTATATTTTCTAATTCATTATATAAATTGTCACTAAACGGCTCAAACGTAGATATGTTGTTTTATTAATTTAAACAGAATTTTATTTGTAATATTTATAATACATTTTCAAAGCTAAATTAAAATCCCGAGCATTCCAATAATGTTTTGTTATTCAATTAAATATTTGAAATTTAATTTGCAAAATTAAATTTAATTAAGAAAAATTTTTTTCAATTGTCTATAACTAAAAGTCTATTGGATTTAAATTGATTTAAAAAATCTCTAAATTTTAATTGAGCAACTCGGTGACATTTTATATGAAATATTTGTAATATCATAAAATATATGGCAATATATAATTGGATGATATTTGATAAAAATCTTGTTCCAAAATTTATAAAAATTACAAATATAATTCGATCTCTTATCGTTTTCGTTGATATAGAGTCATAAATGTTTATCCAGTCCTTGTTTATTTTGTATGAATCGACGCGACAAATGCACTTAATTTTATTTGACGACACACGTTTTCTCAGTCATCGATAATTTTTTTTTTTTTCAATATCGTGACTTGAAACTTTGAACTTAAACAACGAAGCATATAAAGCTTCTGCTTTTTCTTTCTTCATACGATTAGTGCATCGCATCTCATTCGGCTATGACATCAACTTGCATCTACTTAAAACAAATTCCAAAAAAAAAAAAACAGCTGTGAATACTATTCTTTCGTTAACGTTAAACAATATTATCCCAGTGACATTATTTCAATAACCTTAAGCCTCAATAATAATGAATGCGAGGTCTGTTTTTTCTGTCTGGCTTTTGCGACATAAATATATATCTAAAAAAAGATAACTTTGTTAATTTTGTGGCAAAGAATTTTTTAAAGTAAATCTTCGATATCGCGTGCGATAACTCTTACATGTTTTATTTAATTCAACATTTGTCTTTTTCTAAAAATGCAAGAGAAAATGCTCTGCCTCTTTCTCTCTATCCAATGCGCTAACGATTAGCCGAAATTAGCGAAGAGAAAAAGGGGAAAAAAATGTTCTTCTCTTTCTTTTTTTTTATCTTTTCAACTAGCGCAACCCCTGGCCCCACTCGCAACGATCCCTCTCTCACTTTTCCCGATGATCCCATAATGCGAGGGCGCAGGTGGCGCCTTGCCATCCGCCAGCATTGATATGCTAATGAAATTTGACGCCCCTGCTTTTGCGCGCGTTACTCTCGGCGCGGGTGGCTTATAGCGGGTGTGTATTCTGTATTGGACCGTCATTTTTCTCCTCTCGTTTAACCCCGCGCGGACGACAGATTGTACCACGACAAGATTTGATTACCCTAATGCCGTAATTTGCGAATGCGTGCGTGTGCTTGCATTAACATCACGTTCTTAAACATCATCTTTAATATATAAAAGTGATATAAACATGAAATTGATACAGAAATGGGGTACGATGGATTTAGTATTACTTTATTTTGATTAAGAAAACCAGTGAAAATTTTACCATCAAATAATTCTGGACGATATTAATTACTAACAGGATGATTGTAAAAAAATTATAGTTTTAAATCGATCTCGATATTATCGAGAAATAAATCCTTTATCGTTTCGAAGATTGAATCAGAGAGTCAGAATATATACTTCACTAGTAATCGACAGGATTATGGGGTGTATGTTAACGAGATCGAAAAGCTCGCGCGCTTATACAAAGTCACGTGAGTTGAATTAATAAGATCGACGTCGCCTCCTGTCTGCGACGTGATTTGATAACGATCGGAAGATGCGATTCGGCAATTATATTGTCCGAGTAACAAACATATTTAGAAATAGTAGGAGAGCTCAGATTTTTCAGAAAAAGAAATGCGAAAAGGAATTTTGACATTAGTAGGGCATCTTTTTCTTCTGACGACGAAGTTTACTACTCGATTGCTTCTGGCACCCCACGAGAGAGATTCTCCTGTTCCTTTTTCACGTCCCTGAAGGCTTACCGGCTGGATCGCGGGGACAAACAGTATTTACATCGGGAAATGAGTTTGGAAATAGCTCAGAAAGTAAGAATGCTCTAATATAAATATTTATGCCAAATGAATTAAGGGAACCGCGATGAGAGAGAGATTCCGCAGTAACGCGTGTCGCATAATGGGTCGTCAACCTGATGTAAAATCATATTTCAGTTAAAATCGCAACCCTCTGTCTTTCCTTAAATCTTCTTATATATGATCGAATATAAATTTCTTAAATTCAATTAATATACAATCGTAGAACTCTTTCTGTATTATTAGATTTAATATGTCGTAATTAAATTTTATCTTTTATATACTATTGTGCGTTTCAACTTTAATTTTTAAACTTAAAAATTTGTGCATCTGAGAAAATTGAAGACACGAAAAGATGAGATAGAGGGTGAATCTTTCGAAATGCGGAACATTGTCAGCGCAAAGAACAGGACGAAAAGGTCGCGTGCACTATGGCGATGAACATCTGCGTGATCAACGAAATGCGATTTCGCTTCTCTGCTTGGTTCGACTTTATTAGTCACGGTGTCCTCAGCGAGGCGCGAGATCTCGCTCGAATCGTATTTGTCGGCCGTCCCCCGAATTCGATCGAAAACTCGTTCCAGCCTCGTTAATGCCGCGGGGTCAGATAGAATCCGTTCGAGAATTACCATACAACAGAACGAAGATAGGGACGATTCGGCGCGAAACAATTCCGCTGCGCTCGTTTTGTTTAAGTACAAACTGTCACAAATCACGCTCCTTTCACAGTCAACGGATGAAAATAGATAGATAGATTTCTTCTCGTCTTTTCGTTTTATTTATCAGACATTATTTATGCAATAAAACTTTTTCGCACAATATTAAATTATATTATTCTTATATAGTATAATAATACTTTTTGGATAGAATTAAATACGATTAAAGTTAAATTATTCAAATATTTCAAAAATATAATTATACAAAATACTAACATATGATACATAAAATAAACATTCTCGCGAATATGTCATTCAAATAACAATCTCGATAGCTATCGTATTAAATCCGATCACTATCACATAACACGAGGGTGACTTGTTATTATGACGCAAAGGGTAAGAGAAATCCTTTAGAATTGCCTCCGTCGAGGGTTATGAGAGGATTTCGATTGTCAATTCGTGATGATATCGATCGCCAATTGAATAGAAACGACAACAAAGTGGATCGCGTGATTTTCGTGGCGATCCATAACGATCGGGCGTTAAACGAGCGTTAAACGAGCATGCAGAATTTATCTATATGCGTTGTTCGACCAACACTCTCTATTCCAAAATCAATCAAGGATGGCGGGGGCCCTTCGATCTGCCCTGCTTGGGGTTGGACGCGCGAAAGAGATTTCTGGGATTAAGCCGAAAGTAACGGCCAACTGATCGGATGAAAAGGCTGGTGGACTGATCGCGGAAAAATGATATTTCGATCGTAAATCTCGGGCCTCTCGTCGCACTGCCTGATCGCCAAGAAAGCCATTCTGCGACCGAAAAAGATAATGGATTGCCATAGTTAGATATATATTTCAATTGGGGGACTGATCCGATTTTATGTTTCCTTCCTGATCGTGATTTTCCGTTTCCGTGAAATACGTTTTAAAATAAAATAATTATATATGATAAATAAACTAATTTACATTCTGTGCGGAGAATTGCACAAGTTTGTGATGTTAAAAATTGTCATGACTCTTTTCTCTGTTTATGGAAATATAGAATGCAATTAATAGAAATATGTAAATATGTCATAAGTATAATTTAGCTAAATTGAAGCTCGTTATAATTAAAATTATAATTAATAATCGCAGATAAGCGCGAGATAGTAATTTAACAATCGAGCGATATTTTCAATTAAGTTACGCAAGGGTCAAACTAATATTATTAACGATACCAGGCTCATTTTACATTTGCATTTTACATTTGCGAATATATTTCTGTAAATACGTTTAATGATAGTATATGAAATCTCGTTCGATGTTTTAATCCAGAATGAGGAAATTCGAATCTCGGGCATTGGATTATAATAATTTTTCCACTTTCGATAATCGCGATCTATACTTGAAAATAAAAAATCGGAGAAACCAGACTTTGTCAACACATTCATTGAATTTCTGTAATTGTGCAAAGTCTGGAACAAGGCTACGAGGAAAATAATTCATGAATGTTGACGACGTTGACATGTCAACCGGAAGAATAAGACGATAATTCACCGGCAAATTATCTCTCGATGTGATTTTTTCCTTTCGGAAGTTTAATCGCCTCGAAAATTTTTACACCTGCATCTGAGATCGCATATATTAATTTATGACTCCTTGTTTTGAATTTTTTTGTCATCGAAGCGGTCATTTACCGATAAAAAAACGCATATGTTTGATTATAACTTATAGCAAATTCGGTTGAATGCACTACTGCGCACTGCATTTACATAAAGGTTATCGCATACAATTTTACAATAAAATAAGTCATTAAAAATGTAAAATAATTAATAATAAGAGCTATTATCATTATATTCACATTCAACAACAACAATAAAAGCTCTTACTATTATTAATTTTCCTTTTGAGTTCAACATCTTTTTGACACTTGAAGATCTTGTCGTAGAGTTTTGTATGTATAAAAAATTAATTTTCCTTTTGAGTTCAACATCTTTTGACACTTGAAGATCTTGTCGTAGAGTTTTGTATGTATAAAAATTAATTTTCATAAATTATCTGAAAATTGATATACCTATTCTTTTTCTCCTGCACGTTCCATCACAGATTCCGGCGAGAGCAGCGTCATTTCGCCAGGGCTGCCGGAACGTTACAGTCCTCTGGGAGCGACGGGATCCACATCCAGCCACGATCCTTACGCCTCCCGATCGGTCCAGGAATGCCCGGTGCCTCTCTGCAGAGGAATGCCGACGGACTTTCCTCTGGCCAGATCTCCGTATCTGACCGCACTCGGGAACGGCCACCCGCACTTACTCGGTCAGGTGCAGCACCAGCAACAGCAGCAGCAGCAACAGCAATCGCAGCAGCCGCAACACGGCAGCAAACCGCCGCGAAGCCTCGGACTGATATGCGTGGTCTGCGGGGACACCAGCTCCGGCAAACATTACGGAATACTCGCCTGCAACGGTTGCAGCGGCTTCTTCAAGAGGAGCGTCAGACGGAAGCTGATTTACAGGTGAGGCGCTCCGAAAAATGATTTTCCTTTTTCGACGAGATCGAATTTGGTGAAAAATCAATTATGGAGAGAAGAAGAATTTTTGGTAATGTTTTTCAATTTTAAATTAAATGTATATTTCGGAAAATGCATGCACGAATAAATACAACTGCATGCTTCCGCTGTAGATGCACTAGATGAGTGCGAGTTGACTTAATTTAGGCAACGGCGGCTCGTCTGTCGCTCGTCTGTTGTTATATCCGTTGCACACCACAGAGGGAATGTGATTGGGATTAATTATTATTCATCCAACGGTATTTCTACTCCTTAACGTAATTCTGCAGATTCATGCAGATGATACAACATGAATGCGTATGCGATGACATTTCCTAACAGCACGAGCATATCCCGAAGACGTTCACATAACGTTGTACATCGAATATTAATTAAAGAATTGACATACCAGTTAAGTCGTTTTGATTTATTTATCAAGTTCACATAACATCCTGAGGATGTTCGAATGAATATCTTCTAAATATTCTCTGAATATCTTTCAGATATGTTGTGCTACATTAGGGTTGCTGCAACGAATGGAATTTGAATCGATGAAATTGTGAGATACGATTTTTACACAAGAGATTATACATACGATGCAAGAACAAAATCGCAAGGCACGCGATCGGATAACGATATTCATCGCGGTCAAACGTGACGATAGTTCATTCGATATACGCACTCGTTAACAGTCCGGCAACTCGATCCGCGCGACGAGGAAAGAATTGTAACGTATCGCATGCAGTCGGTTGCGGCACTTTGGCGAATCGTCGGAATCGCTCTCGCTTTGCATTTCGATCACGCTCGCCCGCGCGTGTTCATTTTTCAAAGGGCAACCTGCGAGGGTTAATAGTTTGCGTATCGAGTGCGCGCGCGGATCGAGAACGAAACGGGACGGGACGATTCCGGCTCTCGAGAGCGGGATCCGATGGAGATGGATGGCCATTCCCGGGGGACGGTAATAGTTCCTCGATACCGGCTCGGCTTTGCCACCGGGATACCCGGGTATAATTCGCCACCGGTGCGGTGACGGTGCGGCTCTCGATGGGCCCCCGGCGGATTCGACATTATGCGCGCAACCCTCGTGTCGCGGCCCGGTATTAGGATGAGCCCGCTCGACTTGGCCCACACATGGCTCCGCACGAATGTTTAACTCGATATTAACCCCGAATGATACCGAGCGGCAATCAATAGCATCTCCCTTCATCGGGGCCGAGATATATTCCGCAACGTAAAAATATTATTATTATAAAAAAGGGGTACTTTGCTAAATATATGAAATTTTACAAGGTTGTTGTGAATATGTATTAAATATCTATTTAAGGTATATTATATCAATTTTATGATATATGTTAGAAATGAGTTTTTCATATATAATATATATGTATACATATGTATATATCTTATATAAAAATTATTTTTAAAATATATCATAAAAATGTTAATAGATAAGAGATTTAAAAAAATCGCGCAAAAAAATTTTCTCGTAGCTATAGATTCTATAATAAATTATTAATAATGTTTTTGAGCAGACGTAAAAATCATCGAATACGTAAAGTTAATATTTTAACAATATCTGGCTTGTCATGTAAGATGCCTCTGATTATTTTATCATTGCACGTTAAACGATTTGCGACGGAAATTGTTTTTGCTTTGCTTTACGATGTCACAGGAGTTGATGTATATTTTTTAAAGCATTGATACAGATCCGAACGTAATCTTCTTAATTTTCCCAAAAGAAAAGAAAGAGAACCATGGATGCTTATTTACTCAATCAGACCGAATCTATATTTATATTTATGCATCAAAATGTTCTTACCAAATATTGTTATCGAAAGCATCAAATTAGGTCCCATCTTATACGCGCATAATGCACAATCTAAATTGCAATTTCCATTTATTATTTTTCATTATTAACATTATTTAACATTTTCTAATTGTTAGAAGATATATAAAGCAATGTAATAATTTAGCTTTACAGATGGCAATGTATTTAATTATTTCAATTTATAATATTACATTCATCAAGGTAACAAAAAATAACTATTACTGGACGCACAACTTAACACATGCAAAAGTGAGGAGGCGTTTAAAAGATATTTAGTAAAAAAAAAAAAAAAAAAAAAAAAATACAAATGTTATCTCTGTGAAAAGTTCGTCGAACACGAGGAAACAAAAGGAAGGAAGCTGAGGCCTTTGTCATTCGAGTAGCGACATTTGCGTGCAGAGTTCAAGTGCGAGCCCCGCGGGAGTCCGTGCGAACATTTCGGTCGCTCTTATCCACGCACGATGCACTTAATTGCATCTAACCGATCCGTGAGGATTTGCGCTAATCCGGCGATTGTGGACGGCGCGCCGAGCCGTCGTGGCGCATCGCGTCGGGACGCATCTGTCGCATCTCGTTCCCCTCCACGGGTAATTGGTTATCTATGCGGAGGCTCTTCAATCTTTTGCCGCGTTATAGCCGTCCAGACGGGAGCGAAACGCCGTTCTCTCTCTCTCTCTCGTTCTCCTCCTATTTTCACAAACGATGAAATTAAACGTCGCCCGCCGATATAGATTGTCGATCCTCGTGCAATCTATCTCATCGCGGCGAATATTCGAGACAAAAATTTACACCAAAACTTTCAATCAATTTTACAGAATAGAGAATGATGTGTATTTTGCGATCTAAATAATATCAGAAACGATATAGAGGGAATTTTATAATATTTAAATGGGTCTTAGAATTCTATAAAAAATTTTCTCTTACAATACACATCATAAAGGTTCCAGAAAAATATTCGAAATCTAAAAAATTATTGCAGAAATTATAATTATACGATATTGTCTAAAACTATATTTCTTTATTAATGAATTTTGCATTTTACGATGCATCGCGTGCATAACAAAGTGTAAACCCTATCAGCCTAATCACATCCATTATCACTCATGGAATCATTATCCTTCCCACAAATTCACTTCACACAGATGAATAGCAGACGCTTCCGAGATTTTCTGCCGGCGGCTGGACCGCTGTTAGCGCGATTTGGACAAACGTCAGTCACAAGGAGCCTCGCGCTATCTTGTCCCGAGGCGATGTAACATGTAACACGAAAGGCCCGAACTTGGTGTCGACGGGGGTCCGTCGTGCAAATTGATTTGCGTTCACACCCCAACGGAGATCCGCAGGACTCCCCATCTGGCCCCCTTCGACGCGGGCCCCTTTCTGCATTCACCCTTCAGAACCACATCATACATTTATTTACGCATCTCTCTGTTCTACGAGCGGCCCCGCGGCATTGTTCACCTCATTGAATTACCGGAAGCATGTGCTGCCGGTTATCACGCCCGTCGGATCGCCCTACTTCGCGTTGTCGGATGCAGGCTGGATGCGATGGATGTGTATGTTGTTTATTGACGGTGTCGTCGGCGAAGCGGCAAGCTCGCTGCAACCCTTTAGCCGATAGGCCTCTGTTAAGCGATCTTTTTGATGTAACGTGATGTTATGAATGCTAAGAGGAAGATAAACGACATGTAATAAACCATGTAATTTCATTGGAAAGAATTATAAATAATTAGTGCAAAAATAGAGCTTCATTGTTATGTTATCTTACTACAGAAGACAGAGAGAAGAATTCGTATAATCTTTCGAAAATAATTTGCTTCTTATTATTATTATGCGAAAGTTAAAAAAAGGATGAGAGAAGAGTTAGATATATAAATAGAGAATTGGATATTGAATTAATTCTTGGAATCTCAAATCTCTCTTTCTCGACGAGTTCGTCAACTCATCCCTCGCGGCGATCGATCGATCCTTGACGATGACATTTCATCAACGATCAATCGTAACTCCGTAGCTCCTGTCTCTCGCGGAAGGTCGACGAAATTCAGTCGCACTTGTCGGAAATCCGGGGTGCGCACTCTTCGGGAGATGGTGTTAAATTCGATTACTTTCATTGTTGGGCTAACCCGGTTATCCCTCCGAGCTGGCTAACGTAAAGAGGCGAACCATCCGGGGTCACGTATCTTCTTCTTATCCCTCTTAATCTCGTCCAATCCAACGACAGCATCCCCGCAACTTCATTGCCCGGACTTAAAGGCGTCCTATTTTCCCTTATTACATAGCACAGGATATAAAAATCACTACAATTCGAACGAGACCGGAACATTTTTGCACAATGCCAAGTGTCTAATAATATTAATGATTTTTTGCTAGGAAGATAATTTAACAAATATAGAAGTGTAACATATTTTTTTGTAGTGACGTAGATTATTGAAACAACGTCGCGAAAAATCTTAAACATTTTAAGAGAAAGATTATGTGTTAAATATTTTATAAAAATTCTAACGAAAATTTTTATTATATGTTTATATGTGATAAAATATAATAAAATAGCATATTAAACGAGCGCTACATATTTTTGCGCAGATGTCAAGCTGGTACCGGAAGATGCGTCGTGGACAAGGCGCATCGAAATCAATGTCAAGCTTGCCGTTTGAAGAAATGTATGCAAATGGGAATGAATAAAGATGGTGAGTGATAATATACATATCTCCAACTATAATCTGAGCTTAAACCAAATTCACACACAGAAATTAGATTCAGAAATAATTACATTACTCGTCGACTAAAAAGAATCAAGAATACGGTATATATGAAAGCATACGAGAAACAGTTATTTTTATAACTTGTATAATAAATTATAGCTTTCAGTATTTATAAATTAAAAGGTGCAATATAAAAAAAATTTCACTATAAAAAATACTTTTATATAGTAAACCACGACAAATACAAAAAATATAATAATTAGTCAAATCTTTAATAAATCGTATCGCTTTTCGACGCTGAGACAAAATTTATAGGTAGAACAAAATTTCATTTCTTTGTGCATTGCAATGAATAATAAAATATTGGGGTGAGAAATAAGAGTTAAGAGATTCCGCCGCAAAATTTCGCGTCGTGCAATAAATTTCGGAATGCGTCGTTTTCTCCGGATAAAAATCGCGATTGTTATGCGCGATTCGATTCGATCGGGAGGATCGCCCTCTGCGACATCGAGTTCGGCAATAAGAAAGTTATCAGCCGAGGGAGGGTATAGAACAAGAGAAAACAAGACGAAGGGACAGGTGCACGCCCGTGTCTCGCCGGGAAGCATTAAGAGTTGAATCGGAGAGGCTGTTCTCTCGGAGCACAGACTTCCGCTCGCTCCGCCTTTATCCAGTTATTTATGTCGCGAACATAAAAGAGCCTCCGAATTCCGTCGCCCTACCGTACACTGATTGATTCCAGCATTACGGTGCCCACGAAAACGGATAATCCGCCGGATCCATAACTCCAATTTGGCGACAATGTCTTCGAAATTCGCGACATGATATGAGATCGATATATTTCGGTTCCGATCGATCGATCGATCGACTGATTCTTTCTCTCCGAGGAAGATCTTCGGGGTGAAAAAAATTATAAAGTTATTATCATATCTAATTTTATCATTCTTTCAATTGATAAAACATTGGAGCAACCTAAATATAAAGACAGGGTGACTAACGATCAAGGGAATCTGGAAAATTGGGCATTGTCAGGGAGTTTTATAAATTTGGATTTGTCAGTGAAAAGTCAGGAAATTTTATTATTCACATCTGGATTTTTTCACGTTATTCTATATTCGTCTCAATAATTTGAAATTTTTTATTAAATAAATATAAACTTTTCCTTGACTCCCAGCACGCTAATTTTCTGTGTTGTTAAAAATCGATTCATCTACAGCGTGTTCGTTAATTTATATTTTCATCGTCGTGTTATTTTATTTCAATGTGTTTGATAGAAACAAAATTCAAAAATTTGATATAATATAAATAAAAAAGGTGATTATTTAAATAATTTGTAGTGACATGTTTGTTTCAATTATCGTACATAATGCAGATTGTATGTTGATTAAAATTTTTGTAACTTCCGAACCTTTTCATTGTTGACAAAAATATCTCAAGGATTTCCTGATTTAACGTTTAATTGATTTATTATATAGATATATGCAAATAATACTAAAAAGTCAGGGAAAAAATGAATTTCTGGTCTTGGAAAATTTGAAAAAATCAGGGAATTTTTTTCATTAAGTTTGCTGGACACCCTGAAGGATGACATGCGCAATATTAATTGAAGAATGCAAATTAATGATAAATCTCCCAGAAATACCAATATAATCGAAAACTGAAGTCACGCGGAAAATACACAAATCTCGCACGGTTAAATTCTCTGGCGGTTCTTCGGAAACCTGCTTGCTCTTCGGACTTTTACGCGGAGAAGATGACTGGAATAATTACGAGGGCATATTACCGCACGTGAAGGACACGTTCTCCCGTTACGTGTCGAAAGGAGAAAGAGAGAGAGAGCGAGAGATTCGTGTCGTCCGCCGTACTTTAATAGATGCGCGATTAGGGCACTCATTGTCGTCGGCGTGTAACGCGGACGCAATTTTTCCCGGCCTCCCTTTTACCACGCAGCACACACAGGCACGCGCAGTAATTTCGTAATAATAAAAAGCGTGTCGGCTCGCTTTACCTCCGGCGTGCAGCCTGCTGGGCGGCTTAATGGGGTCCTCTTGCTTCGTCGGGCCTCCGTTTCTTCTCTCCTTCTCGTTGTCCTATCCTCTCTTTCTCGCACCGCAAGAGATAAACGCCCCGTGCACTCTATTTCTGTTTAATTTGCATGCACCTCGCTGCGAGAGGCCGGTCTGCTTTTTGTCCCCTCTTTCCTCGACTTCTTCTTCGTTCGTTTAACTGACGAGCGTGCCCGTTTGTTCACTGATGCACGTGTAGGGGCCCTGTTATTTTTACTTGATCCTTAACTCGAATAGAAAACTTTTTAACAATTTTATCTTCTTTGAAAAAATAAATCACGGTATAAATATATATAATTTAAAAAAAAATTAATAAATGTACTGCGAATTCGTACGATTTAAAGATCGTTTCTCTCGACGATTTACGCGTTAACGATCCTTAATACCTTCACTCGTATTTCACAAGTATAGTTTCATTGTTAACCCTCCGTATCCGCCTATGAACATTTCTCGCGCGAATTCTCGCACCAGGACATCCGAACGTGCAGATTGCAATTGTTTCTCTCATTTGCATGGCGGCCTCTCCGCGGGAGAGCACCCTTCCGCGTGTCATCTCCTTCTGGCACCGTCTCCAGCAAAGTCGCAAACAGGGAAAAGATACAGAGAGGGTGAGAGAAATGATCGAGGGTCATGGACGAATATCCGCGGGCGGTCGGCCGCACGTTGCATACGTTTATTTCCTCCAATTAACCCTTCGGGATTCGAGGGCCACGCGACCGTCGCTAACGACCGCAGTGTTTACGATGATGATGACGACGACGAAGAAGAGAACGAGCCGTCGTGCCGCAAACCGCACGAGCGTGAGCTCGCAAATGCGCTTGATTGGCTCGCGTGAAGAAAAATTAACCAACCCTTGCCGCCGATCGTTTATCTCTACACAAGACATTTACGGAAATTTTTTTAAATTTCGTACTAAGAATATCCTCGCGATTCTTTTTTTTTTTTTATATATTAGACAACACAAGCGCGCGCCATTGATATTATTTTTATTCATATTTCAATGGATAACTCTTTAGTCTGCGAGAGTACATAATTTTCATTCGCCAAATAATTTTAATTCTCCAAATTTCTATTATGAACGTAATAAATTTGATACAAATAATAAATCCCCGCGATTCTATTTTTCATGTAAGGATATACTAAAATGATATTTTCCTTTACAAAAATATATAGAAAAAGTTTTCTTTATATAGTAGACAATTCTAGAACAATGCCATGAATTTAATAATACAAACTCAAGTTGCTTTACAATCGATATATTACTTGTTGTCGCGTTAAAAAGGATAAGGATACAGATTTGTTCATTCTGAAAAATTGGTTGCACCTGTCAATAAAAAATCGTATAACAGCATCATCTCACCATGGAAAGTCTTTTTCACGGAATCCTTTCGCATTGATGATCGATGAATATCTCTACACAAGACATTTACGGAATTTTTTTTAAATTTCGTATTAAGAATATCCTCGCGATTCTTTTTTTTTTTTATATATTAGACAACACAAACGCGCGCCATTGATATTATTTTTATTCATATTTCAATGGATAACTCTTTAGTCTGCGAGAGTACATAATTTTCATTCGCCAAATAATTTTAATTCTCCAAATTTCTATTATGAACGTAATAAATTTGATACAAAGAATAAATCCCCGCGATTCTATTTTTCATGTAAGGATATACTAAAATGATATTTTCCTTTACAAAAATATATAGAAGAAGTTTTCTTTATATAGTAGACAATTCTAGAACAATGCCATGAATTTAATAATAAAAACTCAAGCTGCTTTACAATCGATATATTACTTGTTGTCGCGTTAAAAAGGATAAGGATACAGATTTGTTCATTCTGAAAAATTGGTTGCACCTGTCAATAAAAAATCGTATAACAGCATCATCTCACCATGGAAAGTCTTTTTCACGGAATCCTTTCGCATTGATGATCGATGAATATCTTCTCTACACAAGACATTTACGGAATTTTTTTTAAATTTCGTATTAAGAATATCCTCGCGATTCTTTTTTTTTTTTATATATAGACAACACAAACGCGCGCCATTGATATTATTTTTATTCATATTTCAATGGATAACTCTTTAGTCTGCGAGAGTACATAATTTTCATTCGCCAAATAGTTTTAATTCTCCAAATTTCTATTATGAACGTAATAAATTTGATACAAAGAATAAATCCCCGCGATTCTATTTTTCATGTAACGATATACTAAAATGATATTTTCCTTTACAAAAATATATAGAAAAAGTTTTCTTTATATAGTAGACAATTCTAGAACAATGCCATGAATTTAATATTACAAACTCAAGTTGCTTTACAATCGATATATTACTTGTCGCGTTAAAAAGGATAAGGATACAGATTTGTTCATTCTGAAAAATTGATTGCACCTGTCAATAAAAAATCGTATAACAGCATCATCTCACCATGGAAAGTCTTTTTCACGGAATCCTTTCGCATTGATGATCGATGAATATCTCTACACAAGACATTTACGGAATTTTTTTTAAATTTCGTATTAAGAATATCCTCGCGATTCTTTTTTTTTTATATATTAGACAACACAAACGCGCGCCATTGATATTATTTTTATTCATATTTCAATGGATAACTCTTTAGTCTGCGAGAGTACATAATTTTCATTCGCCAAATAATTTTAATTCTCCAAATTTCTATTATGAACGTAATAAATTTGATACAAATAATAAATCCCCGCGATTCTATTTTTCATGTAAGGATATACTAAAATGATATTTTCCTTTACAAAAATATATAGAAAAAGTTTTCTTTATATAGTAGACAATTCTAGAACAATGCCATGAATTTAATAATACAAACTCAAGTTGCTTTACAATCGATATATTACTTGTTGTCGCGTTAAAAAGGATAAGGATACAGATTTGTTCATTCTGAAAAATTGGTTGCACCTGTCAATAAAAAATCGTATAACAGCATCATCTCACCATGGAAAGTCTTTTTCACGGAATCCTTTCGCATTGATGATCGATGAATATCTCTACACAAGACATTTACGGAATTTTTTTTAAATTTCGTATTAAGAATATCCTCGCGATTCTTTTTTTTTTTTATATTAGACAACACAAACGCGCGCCATTGATATTATTTTTATTCATATTTCAATGGATAACTCTTTAGTCTGCGAGAGTACATAATTTTCATTCGCCAAATAATTTTAATTCTCCAAATTTCTATTATGAACGTAATAAATTTGATACAAAGAATAAATCCCCGCGATTCTATTTTTCATGTAAGGATATACTAAAATGATATTTTCCTTTACAAAAATATATAGAAGAAGTTTTCTTTATATAGTAGACAATTCTAGAACAATGCCATGAATTTAATAATAAAAACTCAAGCTGCTTTACAATCGATATATTACTTGTTGTCGCGTTAAAAAGGATAAGGATACAGATTTGTTCATTCTGAAAAATTGGTTGCACCTGTCAATAAAAAATCGTATAACAGCATCATCTCACCATGGAAAGTCTTTTTCACGGAATCCTTTCGCATTGATGATCGATGAATATCTTCTCTACACAAGACATTTACGGAATTTTTTTTAAATTTCGTATTAAGAATATCCTCGCGATTCTTTTTTTTTTTATATATTAGACAACACAAACGCGCGCCATTGATATTATTTTTATTCATATTTCAATGGATAACTCTTTAGTCTGCGAGAGTACATAATTTTCATTCGCCAAATAGTTTTAATTCTCCAAATTTCTATTATGAACGTAATAAATTTGATACAAAGAATAAATCCCCGCGATTCTATTTTTCATGTAACGATATACTAAAATGATATTTTCCTTTACAAAAATATATAGAAAAAGTTTTCTTTATATAGTAGACAATTCTAGAACAATGCCATGAATTTAATATTACAAACTCAAGTTGCTTTACAATCGATATATTACTTGTTGTCGCGTTAAAAAGGATAAGGATACAGATTTGTTCATTCTGAAAAATTGATTGCACCTGTCAATAAAAAATCGTATAACAGCATCATCTCACCATGGAAAGTCTTTTTCACGGAATCCTTTCGCATTGATGATCGATGAATATCTCTACACAAGACATTTACGGAATTTTTTTTAAATTTCGTATTAAGAATATCCTCGCGATTCTTTTTTTTTTTATATATTAGACAACACAAACGCGCGCCATTGATATTATTTTTATTCATATTTCAATGGATAACTCTTTAGTCTGCGAGAGTACATAATTTTAATTCGCCAAATAGTTTTAATTCTCCAAATTTCTATTATGAACGTAATAAATTTGATACAAAGAATAAATCCCCGCGATTCTATTTTTCATGTAAGGATATACTAAAATGATATTTTCCTTTACAAAAATATATAGAAAAAGTTTTCTTTATATAGTAGACAATTCTAGAACAATGCCATGAATTTAATAATAAAAACTCAAGCTGCTTTACAATCGATATATTACTTGTTGTCGCGTTAAAAAGGATAAGGATACAGATTTGTTCATTCTGAAAAATTGGTTGCACCTGTCAATAAAAAATCGTATAACAGCATCATCTCACCATGGAAAGTCTTTTTCACGGAATCCTTTCGCATTGATGATCGATGAATATCTCTACACAAGACATTTACGGAATTTTTTTTAAATTTCGTATTAAGAATATCCTCGCGATTCTTTTTTTTTTTTATATATTAGACAACACAAACGCGCGCCATTGTAATTATTTTTATTCATATTTCAATGGATAACTCTTTAGTCTGCGAGAGTACATAATTTTCATTCGCCAAATAATTTTAATTCTCCAAATTTCTATTATGAACGTAATAAATTTGATACAAAGAATAAATCCCCGCGATTCTATTTTTCATGTAAGGATATACTAAAATGATATTTTCCTTTACAAAAATATATAGAAGAAGTTTTCTTTATATAGTAGACAATTCTAGAACAATGCCATGAATTTAATAATAAAAACTCAAGCTGCTTTACAATCGATATATTTCTTGTTGTCGCGTTAAAAAGGATAAGGATACAGATTTGTTCATTCTGAAAAATTGGTTGCACCTGTCAATAAAAAACCGTATAACAGCATCATCTCACCATGGAAAGTCTTTTTCACGGAATCCTCTCGCATTGATGATCGGTGAATGAAACTCTCGATTGGTCGTGCACCGCGTTGCAAACAATAAGCGTGGCTACTGCGTGCCCCGTTAAATTCACGCGTGTCAGACGCAGACTGCCGGCGTGACGTAACGTGGCGTTGCGTGAGTTTGACGAGAGGGCGGCAGACAACCGCTCGCTCCGTCGTTTTCCCCGTAAATCCGGGGGAGTGAAGATGCGGGGAAATCGACTAATATTTCAATAATACTTCAATCATCCGCGAATTCGACGGCCTCGACGAGCGACACAATGCTCCCATTGTTCGCCGACCGCATCGCCGATTTCAATATCCTCTTTCGTTCGAAAAAGAAAAATAGAGAAAAATCGTCGCGTTTTCCGAAAAAAAAAATAAAAAATAAAAAAAAAAGAGCGATCGAACGAAGTGATGAATATGCATCATAGAAGCTTTACTGCCCTCTGATTTTTCTCGTTATCGATCAGTCGGAAAAGCTATTCGGTTTTTAACGAAATATACGAGCTTTGCCGATACCTACCACGCTGGTTCTATTCACCCTATTGTTACATAATAATCGATATACAATGGAAAATACAATTCTAGGGGACTTTTATATACAGTATCGGGACAGGCATTTCGTAACACAACAACACTTTCATCTGTGAAAAATGTATTGCGTCAAAAATTGCGCAAACTTGAGAGAAATGCATTTGCGTTGCATGACCTATGCAATCTCGCACAAAAGATATTAAAGGGATACATTACCTGTAAATTTAACAGTAAGTTAAACAGTAACTGTACTGTAAATTAAACAGTAGTAATTTACGCGAATGACACAACATATATTAAAAATCGCGCGACTGTTATCTGTAGAGATAATTGATACATAAACAAATTCGTCTTGTGACTTATCGCAAAATTAAATTTACGATAACCGATGACGAATTAATGATTCAATGAACTTAAGAAAAAAGATTTATTATGATCATTACACCTGCAAAAACACTCGCCGTGCCGATCGCCAATGAAAAACACCAAATTTATCATAAAACTTTGCTATAAATATTCATTACAGATGATGCACAAAAGTCAATGATCCAACCGTCATGACCTCTTGCGTTTAAGAATTATTATTAAATTGTTATTGAAAAAGAAATATTAATTTTAGTATTAATATTAATTTATTATTTTATTTTAGTATTTATAGTATTTGCTGTAGTTTTAATATGAATTTTTAATATATTAATATTACAAAAAGTATCAATTTGTAGAAATTGTAAAAGTTAAAACGTACTATGTAATTTTCGATATCATAAATGGCCGCGTATATCTATAATAAACACGACAAGATTGCAATATTGCAGCTGTTCAAAATGAACGTCAACCGAGGAATACTGCCACCATTAGACCGGAAGCGCTCGTCGAGATGGACCAAGAGCGGGCGCTGCGCGAAGCCGCCGTCGCCGTGGGCGTCTTCGGGTAAGTGATAATTAATTTTACTCCTCTCTTTTATTATCTCCGATTTTTATTCTTTACCTTTGTATACCTTTCGAAAAAAAGATGCAATTATTCAGCATTACAAATCACGTAAAAAAGAACAAAAGAAAATAACGTTTCATTAAGAGATAATTAATTAATTAATATTATTTATACATTGATTAATTGGCGATTGAGACATGCGCAAATAATAGCGATAATATATCAGAAAAATGCGATTACATCGAAAGGGCAAGAATATCAAATGGTGTGTATTTATCTCACGAGGGCAAAATTTCAACACTTGAGACTACTTTGATCGAGCTTCGATCAACTTAATCAGACTTAATAACTGCAAAACTTTGTGAATATCGATAGAATTGATCAATTACATTGATTGACACATATCGGGAGAAAAATATGAAATCAGAAACGAGGAGTGCGTGCGTTTAGAAAGTGTCGCTGTAATTTTTTTCGCAATTCCATGAAACGACGACTGCGTTAATCGGAGTTTGGTCGAAATGGCCCTTAGACACGGTCGATTAGAGCGGCAGGCGACGGAGGCGACGATCGATAGTCACCTGTCGACGGGTGCAACGACAGGAGCAACAAGGGCCGGCGACGTTGTTGGCACGTTTGATCTTGTGCTGCGCACCAGGCTTACCTTTCGCCGTTGTGAGCGACACGCCGAGCGTGATCTATCATGAAAAATTACCTTTGACTAGCAGCCCGAGTATGCGTAGCGTTTTTCAGGTAACCGGTTGCCCAGGTTGGAACTAATGGAAAATCCATAGAGCGCCAAGGGGTGAACGTTAAAAGCGACAGGCCGGCGTCCCGACGCGTCGTCCTCGGCGAGTTATATTACACAAGCGCGATCAATCCTTTCGCGATACACAAGCTTCTCAGATTAATTCAGCAGAGAGAATCCATCGCTTTATCGCATTCGAAAAGATGTAGGAATTTTTGGAATTTTAAGCTATATCGAAAACAGAAGATTCAGATGCTCTTTTTACACAATTCGATTAATTTCAACTAATTTAGTGAACAAGAAAAATAAATGGTGAAGTTAGGACAGAGTGTCAAATGAACATATTTTTATGCGAGAGAGCTCGTAGTTTTACGTAATTCAGAATAATAATGAAATAACTTATGATTTAGCTATATTTGATTCAATATAACAATTTTGATATAATATAAGTATGCTGTCTTCTAAGCTGGGCAATAGAGCCAAGGAAACGAAACGAAAAATTAATTAAACGGAACTGTATCTCAATTTGAGATCCCAAAGTTCCACATATAAATTAATTTCGAAACTTACATATGGAGAAATAAGCGAGAAAAATATAGGTCCGAAAAGTCGCTGAAGCGGGAATCGAACCCGCGTCTTTCACTTTCCGGGCGACTGCTCTTACCAACTAAGCTATTCAGACCCTTTCGATCCTATATTTTTCATTTGCCTTTTTAGTAGATGTTAGTAAATACCGCCGTGATTAGCCCAAGGCGTGAATAAACTCAGAAAAAAAAGGTATTTACTAACATCTACTAAAAAGGCAAATGAAAAATATAGGATCGAAAGGGTCTGAATAGCTTAGTTGGTAAGAGCAGTCGCCCGGAAAGTGAAAGACGCGGGTTCGATTCCCGCTTCAGCGACTTTTCGGACCTATATTTTTCTCGCTTATTTCTCCATATGTAAGTTTCGAAATTAATTTATATGTGGAACTTTGGGATCTCAAATTGAGATACAGTTCCGTTTAATTAATTTTTCGTTTCGTTTCCTTGGCTCTATTGCCCAGCTTAGAAGACAGCATACTTATATTATTTATATTGAGAGCCGATAAAAATATTTATTTCTGAGTTTATTCACGCCTTGGGCTAATCACGGCGGTATTTACTAACATCTACTAAAAAGGCAAATGAAAAATATAGGATCGAAAGGGTCTGAATAGCTTAGTTGGTAAGAGCAGTCGCCCGGAAAGTGAAAGACGCGGGTTCGATTCCCGCTTCAGCGACTTTTTGGACCTATATTTTTCTCGCTTATTTCTCCATATGTAAGTTTCGAAATTAATTTATATGTGGAACTTTGGGATCTCAAATTGAGATACAGTTCCGTTTAATTAATTTTTCGTTTCGTTTCCTTGGCTCTATTGCCCAGCTTAGAAGACAGCATACTTATATTATTTATATTGAGAACCGATAAAAATATTTATTTCTGAATTTTGATATAGATTGTCGTTTCTATTAAAATCAGCAACTCGATTAAACTCGTGAAATTCCGAGAGACTTATCTACATAATCATTGAAGGAATCAGAAATTATAATTATATACACAAATGAATATTAACTCGATATTATACTTGCTATAATTTACAAGTTATAATTCATTGTAAGGGTCGAAAATGTGACTAAGCAAATTACGCAAAAAAATACTATTTTATTCTCGTTGTTCGCGGCAAGAAATTTGAACGAAAAGTTTTACGGAAGTAATAAATGATATTTATTCCATGTATACACAATAACGCGCTAAGAAAAATGTGGCTATAAACGGGTTGGAACGTTATACGTTCCTCGTCGCGATCGATCTTGCCTCCCCGACTGTCCGCGTCGTCTTCGGATCGCGGATTACGCACTTCGTCGATTACCCAGAAACGCTAACTAGTTCCGCTATTCTTAACCCAGTAATTATCCCGATCATCTGTTCTCTACTTGAATAAGCAATTTCCCGTGTCGCGTCGCGTCGCGTCGTCTGTCACTTTCATTTTGCTCCGAAAGCGTTCGTTCAATCGAAAATGCGATTCAATAGCAATAAATGCATTGTGCGAGATTCCGGTTATCATTAATGTCAGATTGAGATGACGGCATGATTAAATGAATTTTTCAACGAATAAAAAAATACGAGCCATATCTGGATTAATTTTTCTCACCGTTTCTTTCCGATTTCGCGATGCAGTCTTATGAAACGAGACAGCAGTAATTATTTACTTCTCAAGCAACATAAAAGTATAAAAGACATCTATTAATAAATATTTAAAAATGAGTTTCTCACAGCGTGTTTACTGCGTCACTTAGATGTTTATGACAGTTCGAGTGATTGATTAAAGTTTATATATAAAGAAAAAAGAAATTGTGCTACAGTAAATATGAAAATACTTCTCGTAGTAATAGTAGAAGTGTCACATGTGTTCTCTCTATACACACAACGTGCACAATATATATATATATATATATATATATATATATTTATATATATATATATATATATATATATACGTGTAAAAAAGATATATCCATAATACTTGGTCTAAAGGCTCTACACCCGGCTCTGCCCTTCGCGAGCGCGATCACCGAATTCAACCGATCGACCCGACTAATAGAAGTCAAGCACGGCCTCGCCGCTAACGATACTCGCGAAAATCGCGCGAGCCCGATCGCCGGGCGACATCATCGGTTTCTTCGCGTCGACGTCGCGACGACGCCGATCGTTCGTCTCCGGACACTCGCCGATCTTCTTCTCGAGATGCTCCGCCGGAATCGGTACGATGGATCTCACGTCGCTCTCGGACTTGACGAACTTCCGCGGGCTGTCCAGGACGTGCGAAACGCGAGGCGATTCCATCTTGTAACCCCTCTTCAGGTTCTCCGACTTGGTCTGCCTGATGACGGACACCAGTCGTCGCTTGATGTCCGCGCTAGCGATCTGCTGCGCGTTTGGCTGGGTCCGATCGAACGGATGTTTGGCGACATTCTCGAGAAGATCCAGGAGCCGGTCGAACGACAGGCATATCTCGTCCAGGGACTGCTGGCTGATCAGCAGGCAGCCCCTGGTCTCGATCTCCTTCTCCTTCAGAACGTTCTCCAGCACAGCTATGTCGTTCTGCGCCGATCGCAGGTTCGCCTCGGCGGTTTCGCGACACGCACGTTCCTCGACGAGCAGAAGGTCGACCCGCTTGCTTTTCTCCAGAAGACGATCGTGCTCCGCTTGAGCTTCCGCCAATTTCCTGAGGACACTCTGAATCTCCTCCGGATTGTCCTGCCGATCCACGCTTTGCGTTCCAACATCCACCTTGATCGAATCGAAGCTCCTCAGGCTCGTTTCCGCGGAACACGGGACGTCTTCTTTGGGTTCTCCCGACGTTGTCTTTCGATCTTCGACGTCGCGATTCACCGCGGATTGTATCCTGGACTGAAGGTTCAGGTGAAGAGACACCTTGGGCACCGTTTGTATGCTGCCGATCGTTCGCGATCGAATCAGATTAGGTCGTTGCTGAGGGATGTCGCGGACCGGCGGCGATGGCGGCCGGATCTTCATCTTCGACGGCAGAAGCGTCATCGGGAGCGTCCTCCTCGGAGGAATCGCCTGGCACGTCCTCTTCGCGTACATGGTGAAGGCGCTTCGCGCTCTCGAGAGCTTCGCGGCGTCTTCGTTCTCGTTGCATCTTCTGGTACCAGCCGACGCGATCCTTTTGTCCTTCGGCGCCAATCCCATCCACTTGTATTCCGACGACTTTCCCTCGACGTCGTTCTCCCCCAATCTCCTCATCACTTCCGTCGCAAGCTCGTCGTTCAGGTTCGCGTTCTTCCTCACGTCGAGCACCGCCAGCGTGTTATTCTGCTCGAGCAGGTTCAGCAGATCGTCGCCGATCTGATCCGTTAAGCCGCAGTGCTGGAGATCAAGCGCCTTCATCCATAAACTGTCGCGGATCGCCTCGATCATTTCCCTTACGGCGCAGTTGCCGAGATGCGGATTATCGTTCAGGGTCAATCGACGTAATCCCGGCATCGCCTCGAAGTTGGGCTCGCGATACCTCAGCGATTGCTTCCACGTGTCGTGGTAGAGCGCTAATTTCTGTCTGGAGAGGGCGGACGCCAAAGCGCCGCCGCTGTTTGACGTGAGGTCGCAGTGGCTGAGATTCAACGACCTCACGCTGCGAATGTCCGCTACCGTTCGGCAGATCAATTCGCAGCCGGTGTCCCCGATTAAGCAGCGTCGCAGGGACAGATGGTGCAGGGTTCCCGTGCCCGACAGACCGACGCAGAGCACCGCGACGCAGTCCGGTGGAAACGGGATGCCCTCGAGTTCCAAATGCGTGAGGCTGGGCGAATTTCTCACGCACTGGCCGACGCTCTGCGACATCCATTCCAGCAAATATCGCGTGAGGACCACCGGGGCTTTGCCCATTGCTCTCGCCTTATCCTCCGAATTTACCTCCTCCAAGGGTTTACGGTATTGATACCTGATGAATATGGATGCGATATCTCTCGTATCGAGATTTTGACAAATTCGAAAACAATGAGGGCAAACTATATTTTGTTTTCTAGAGTAACTTGTTTTACTTTAGATGTCAAATTTCATAATATAAAAATTCTAGAAAAAGAAATAATTATTTTTTAAAGAATTTAAATAACGCGAATAAAGATAATCATATGTTATAATCAGAACTTACATGTGCACGGAGAGAATTTTCTCTTAGAATTTACCTTGAAAATCATGGTAATCATGGGACATTATAGTATTGGGAGAAATTTATAAGAGTTTCTCTGATTAATATTTACCAATACACAATATAAAAAATATATATATATATACATAGTAAAATTAATCGAATATATTTTATATCTTATATGGTGGTAGATATTAATATTTTTATCGTGGTAAATATTAATCAGAGAATACTCTAATATAAAATTCTTCCAACATCATATTGTCTCACGATTTTCAGGGTAAAATATAATAAAAAATTCTCTCTATGTTCCATCACATATATAATTCATTAACGTTAAATAATCTAACCCCACCAAATATATTATTAAAAAATAATTTAAAAATCTCATAAAAAAATCAACTAATTATGAGAGATGCCAGAAACTAGTAGAGCATGTAATCGGTTATTTTGCAACCTGCTGTGGATGCTAATCGATTTGAGGGAGCGATCGAGAGAAAGGGAATTCAAGATCGGGCCCCAATCGTCCATCTTGACGCGATCGGTGGTGAAGTCCAGGCTGTGCGGTAGGGTGACACATATAACCGGCAGCGGTCGCAGTCGTTGCTGCTTGCACAGTTCCATGTAGCAGCTTGCGAAGTTCCTGCCGGCCGGGATCGCCATTTTCCGCGGCGAGGTCGGCGCGGCCGCATCGATCTTCCGTCGGCATCGCGACGGAATTTTACCCTCGAGGGTCGTAATGGTGCCGGTGGTCTCGCCTCCAGAATTATGAACAGTCTCAGCCGCTGTTGTAAATCGGCGCATTATCAGATCCGCTCTCTCATCGCTTGGTACAAGGAGCCTTTTTTTTAGACGTTTTTAAACGGACGCCAAATATACTCTTAAAAGACGACACGCGTGTCGACAGAGAGTGAGAAAGAGAGAGATCATTTACCTTCGCCGTTGTTGCTTCGCCCGTGGACTAACCGCGATCTTACCGCGAAACGTCATCTGCACTACCAGATTTGCATGGAAGAGATCGGCAAGTTGCGAAAAAAAGTTTTGTCGGAAGCAATATTTCTCGAAAACATCGACGGCGTCCTTCGTCGTACGTGATCGCTGTACGCGAGACCCTACCTACCCGAGATCGACATAAAATTTCCGCTACGCGGAACACGACGAACCTACGAACGAAACTCGCACGCGAGCGAACTGAAGATGTCGTCGGTCGTGGTTATTTCATTCTGATTTATCGCCAAAATCGAGTTTGCATTTACTAAATTATAGCGCGATACTTTATAATCGAAATCCATTTTTAATATATAAAGCAGAATAATATAATGTTTAAAAAAAATCCTTCTTTTGGCATGAAAAAAAAAATATAATAATGTCATTCAAGAATATTGCTTAAATTTTTTTTAAACTTTCACATTTTTATTCTCTATAAAAACTGGATAATTATATCATTACTTTTTATCATTCAGATATTTTAATCCTTCCGGCACATAAATTGTTTCTCAGACCGCCAGTCTCCCTAGCTATGGCGAGATACACTACGCCACTACCTCTGCCCACAGTCGCACCGACGACAAACTCTACAAATAATGTAGCGACACCACCTCGACAAGACAACGAGGACGGTACGCATCTTATACATTTCAAATAATTTAAACAATCATTAACATTCTTTTACAAATAATTGTTTTTTCTTAAAAAAGACACACATATTTTTATACATTTAAACAAAAGAAGTATTCATTAATATATGTATGTGTATATATATATAAAATTTCAGATGCACAAAAATTGTTTCATTTTATTAAAGATGAATGGTTTTTTGAGAGATGATCCTATTAATTCAAATCTTTGTGAAAATTTATATCGACGCCATTCACGCTTTTATCACTTGCTATTGTTACAGCTGCTACAAAGAGTTTACATAAGATAGGAAAGAGTTTTATGTTTAAATAGGAAATGCATCCGAGGATAGTATAGATGTAACGAACGAGGAGCCATTGACACCTCAACGAAGTGGATGCGCGCAGCTTCCACCAATACTCCCGTCATTATATTCACCTGCGAGTGCCGAAACGGTCTACGAGACCAGCGCGAGGCTGCTCTTCATGGCCGTCAAATGGGCGAAGAATCTTCCCTCTTTCGCTGGTCTGCCATTCAGAGACCAGGTAATGCTTTGCCAAATTTACGATCGCAATTCACTTACAATATATATGTAAATGTAGCATATATACATATTTTAACGCACTTTATTTATATTGCTCATTTACTTTGACGTTGATGAATGATAGGGTAATAGGCTGTTGAGAATTAAGATCAGTAAACAATGTTTTATCAACACCGATCATCAGATAAATAAAAATATAAACGACACATTCATATACATACATATATAAAAAAGAAATGTCTTATATATTTACAGATATTAAATTTAATTGTAATAAAAATCTCAAAAAGATTTAGATATAATTAAAATCTAAAAAATTATAAAAGTTCAATTATTATATTAAATCTTATAAAATAAAAATCGAGTTTATTATAATAAAAATCAATCAAACAACAGAAAAAGCCAGATGATTAAAATGGTAGAAATATACGGAGATAATACATCAGTTTTTAAATAAATCATAAATATCCGATTGATCGTGTTAAGGTAATATTGCTGGAAGAGGTCTGGTCGGAACTGTTTCTCCTAAATGCGGTTCAATGGTGTCTGCCACTCGAGTCATCGCCTCTCTTCAGCGCTGCCGAATTGACGGCTCTGACTCTCTCGCCACATCAGCATCCGCACTCGGGATTGCATCTGCAAACCACCACGGGAAAACCTAGTCAAGTAGCGGCGGATGTCAGACATTTGCACGATACCCTGCAGAGATACAAGGCAGTCATGGTCGATCCCGCGGAATTCGCCTGCATGAAAGCCATCGTTCTCTTCCGCCCAGGTTTGTGACTTTCGATACGTCTCATATATATATAATCTAAAAAGTATTTGTATAATTTTTTATTATTACAAAATTCAGAATCTCTGCCTCTCCTTCCCTATACATATCCCTAATAGCACAACATATCCAAAAGATATTCAGAGGAAATCCAGAAGACATTTGAACATCCTCAGGATGTTCTTTAAACGTTTTCGGGATATGTGTGCTGTTAGAGATATAATATATGATTTAAACAGTTTTATTGATTTTTAATTTCTGAAAAGATGCGTATATAATCACGAAAATATATATTATCCGCTTAATTATTCAATTTCGCAAAATCGGGATTTTTATTTCTAGAGTCGCGCGTATTTTCTTTTTGTTGCAGAAACCCGCGGCTTAAAGGACTCCAGTCAGATTGAGAATCTGCAGGATCAGGCACAGCTGATGCTGGGACATCACGCGCGCGCTCAACAGCCGAATAGCCCGGCCCGATTTGGCAGGTTGCTGTTGCTGCTCCCGTTGCTGCGAACGGTTCCGGCTGCCAGAGTGGAACTGATTTATTTCCATAGAACTATCGGCAATACACCGATGGAAAAAGTCCTCTGTGACATGTACAAAAATTAAAAATCATCTCGGACATCAGAGAACTTTTCCCGAGAATTACTGCTTCAATTAAATTGATAACGCAAATTACGCAAGGATCGCCAAAAGCTTTGGCGCTAAAGCAAGGATTTACGGAAGGCGGAATTAATCACCGAAAATGGACAGCAAAGACTGGCTAACGAGACTTTCCTAAAAATAAAAAAAAATGGAAGAATCAAGAAGCAAAGCGCAGCTTTGTTCCGATCATGATCAGGCCTAAGGACAAAGTTCTAAGTCCCTTCGAGATGATCATAAGATAATAAATTCGATTGGCGAGTATATTCCTACAAACGCGGAGCACAGGAAGAATGACGTCACTAACGAATAAAACGGCAACTAAAATCGACCGAGGGGCACTCAATCGCGGCGTAAATATACACATAGACACATACATAATATATGTATTTATTTATTATAGACATATATATCGGGCGTTAGGCCCAACACGTTGATAGAGTGTTTTTTTTCGTTTCTCTTGTAGAAGATTAACGGATTAATCCAAAAAAAAACGGAGGTATTTCGTTTTTTACATTTTTCCTTCTCTTTTTTTATACCTTGACTTACGTTCGTCGTGAAATTACCGAATTAGAGAGGAAAGTGACGGGAGCGATGAACAGATTCTGTAACTTTATGAAAAATATGTGATTCAGGACTCAATTATGGAATATAAATGTTCGTAAAATTGCAGTGAAATTATTTGAAAAATTAACGCAATTAAAATATTCTTTTGTCTTTTTACACGTGAACAAATTTATGCATCAGAGATATGATTAATAAACCGTGGCAATATAGCTATACATATACATTACAAAATCAGAATTAAATTGCATTTGAAAATTACTCAGGCAGTAATATAAATTCATAAAATTTAATGTTGCATAATATAATTAATGAAAGTAATTTGATCCACGAAGGTGTGTGAGGAGTTAATTTTTTTCGGCGCTGTAAATGAATGCTCGTCCGCACTTTCTCTGTATATTTCGTGTTGTGATACTATTCGCTGTAAAAGTCTACGTATTCTCAATCGGTGATATGTATTGTAACGATTACTTGTAATAAAAGTAAATCTGATTAACTTGTCTATCGTCACTGTCTCGTATCACTCTAATTTGTTTTAATTTCCTATTATTTTAAAGAGAGACTAAGTTTTTTTCTATATTAATTAAATCTAAGTTAATCAAAAGTAAGTAAAATTAATTATCTCGATTTTAAATAAATATTTTTTCAACTTATAGCATCTCAACTTTGCTCATACAATCGACGAGCGAAGGAAAATATCGAAAGTAATATTAACGCATAAATAGCCATTATATAAGTAGAAATAGAAGATAGTAATAGATGATAAAATCAAAACATTACAAAATATACTTAACAAATAAAACTTCGAAAAAATATGCGAGACTACAGACACAAATTAATCTAATAAAAAAAAAACATATATCATAATAAATTCAATTAATAATTTATTGACAAAAAAAAAAGGAGTCGCGAGGGTCTAAGCGGAATCCTTCGAACGGAACCCAAAGTTCAAAGATCGCCGTAGTATTTGACGAGAAGGGGTGGATTTGGCCCCTCGAAACGCAATTTGACTTCGGTCGCGACAGAACGCAACGACGTATATCCGCATCCCCGCAAACCCCCGTCACGGCGGGTTGTTGCATAAACGTACATATTTATTTATCACCGCATAATCCCTGTGACTTCCCCTGCCGACGAGGGTTTTGCCGCACGGCAGTTTGACGGTCCCCGGCGGAGTTACCCCCTCAGCCGCTTATAAATTACATCGGGGCTCGAGCGAGGTTTAAGGGCCTGCTTAAGTTGTCAAAGCAATCGGGGAGTTAAACGCCCCGGCGCTGGGGGTGAGCGTCCTTAATGCCTTTTCGAGCGGATCCACGAAACGCGCGGAGTCAGGCGGCGAACCGCGGAGAATAATTGGGGGTAAAAGCAAGTAGACTCCATTCCACTCAAGTTTGGAAAGGTAAAAATTGCGTCGGACAAACTTTCACTAACTTGCATTACGCTAAGTAGATTTTTAATATTATATATCTCGTGATTTTTTCACATGTAAAGATTGCATTTTGAATGTATTGTTATTTAGCTTCTACATTTTTTAATTAATATTAAACAATAGAGCTGCGATATATTTTGTCTCGTTAATATTTAAATATTAAAAATATGTATAAAATATATTGGAAATGTATTTCTCATGCTAAATGGTTCGAAAAGAATTCTTTCAACTCGTCGAATATTACGCCTTCAAAATTCTTATTTCCAATAAATTCTCCGATATTGAAGTGTAACTTCGGAAGACCTTCCCTAAGCTTAAAATATCAATAAAGACGAAAGAACACGTTAAGAATTTAGACTATCTAAAGTTATTATCATCTATATCAATATCAAAAAGAAACGACTGGTACGAACTACTTGTTTTTCAGTAGTGTAAGCCTATAATGATCAGACATGCACAAAATGTTCCCTTCCGCGTTAATTAAGAATTAAAAGAGCATCGTCAAAAGTGGGACGACGAATCACTTCCTACAAGACACCTGTATCAAACCCTTTCACGACCCCCTTCTTCCCTCTCGCCACCCCTAAAAAAGAAACAACTTGTTTTTCAGTAGTGTAAGCCTATAATAATCAGACATGCACAAAATGTTCCCTTCCGCGTGAACTAAAAATTAAAAGAGCATCGTCAAAAGTGGGACGACGAATCACTTCCTACAAGACACCTGTATCGAACCCTTTCACGACCCCCTTCTTCCCTCTCGCCACCCCTAAAAAAGAAACAACTTGTTTTTCAGTAGTGTAAGCCTATAATAATCAGACATGCACAAAATGTTCCCTTCCACGTGAACTAAAAATTAAAAGAGCATCGTCAAAAGTGGGACGACGAATCACTTCCTACAAGACACCTGTATCAAACCCTTTCACGACCCCCTTCTTCCCTCTCGCCACCCCTAAAAAAGAAACGACTTGTTTTTCAGTAGTGTAAGCCTATAATGATCAGACATGCACAAAATGTTCCCTTCCGCGTGAACTAAGGATTAAAAGAGCATCGTCAAAAGTGGGACGACGAATCGACACTTCCTACAAGACACCTGTATCGAACCCTTTCACGATCGCAAGTCCCGCGGGGGTTGCGCAGCCGGTAACGAATTTCAATATCCATCCTCCGAGGAGAAAAGGCGAGCATAGGCATGGCGGCACGCTTGGGAACGGAAGGCGAGCAGCGTGATAGTATTGACTCGCTTCCGCGGATGTGCGGGGGCGGAGTTTTCGACCTGTCTCCCCCGCTGCCTCTCCGGGAAACCGGGGTCGCGCCAGGCTCGATCGGGTCGGTCGGGAAGGGTGAGACTGACTCTCGTCGCACGGGGCTGTCAACCCCCACCCACGCGACGACAAAACTCCCGCTGAAGGGTGACCCAGCAATGGCGGCGGGACTTGTTGTATTTCGCTTTCGAGGTGAGCTCTCTCCATTCCCTTCTATCTTCTCGATTCTGTTCTCCCTCTGCTCCGCCGATCTCGCGAACCAAAACGAGATGGTGGCGAACAGGGAGGTGCGAGCGAGAGCGAAGAGAAGGAAGGGTGTACAGCGATCTCCGGAGCTTCAAAGGGACGAAGGGGGAGAGCAGAAAGAGAGAGAGAGAGAGAGGGTGGAGGACTATATCGCTCGGAAGCAGCAACCTCCATTTATTTTATTACATTATCATACCAACTAGGCGCTCGATAAGTGGGGCTTTAAAGCGACGGTTCTCAAATCGTTTCGCGCGAAACTTCCGCGCGCGACTTTTGCTCACGGCGATGCTCGGCTTCGATATTATCGTGGAGTATCGTAAGTATACTTTGTTTTTTCAAAAATATAGATTTAAGCATCCGAAATTTTCAACGTGTCTTAAGAGACGGGATTCAAATCTTTTTGTCTCGTACATCAATAAAAATCGAAAAAATAAATATTTGGAACATTTATAAATTATTCTAGAGAATTAATTAGCAGTTAGAGCATCACACTTTTTTTCATTATTAGAAAAATTAGATTTACGGATATGTATCTCTCCCTTGGAAAAGGGAATATCCTTTGATACTTAAAATACAAGTACATATAACATTTACGTTACGTACGTATGTAGAGTATTATCATAATTATAATGCATAATTATAAATTATTTCATTAGATATTATTATTCTTAATTTTGCCAGTTCAAAGTAACGTAACAATGAGCTAATGTTAATAAAACATATTTCACAAATTTTTCTCCTGTACTTATTCAAGTATAGTAATATTCCTTGCATGCATAAAAAATGTGTAATGAGATTTTAATTATCGTAAATAAATGAATTAAAAACGCACTAATTTTTAATAAAATTGCAAAACATCTTATTTACAAAAATATCAAGCTTTAAACTTATTTAGCAAAACCTTCAATAACAAATTTGAAAAACAGAGATTTTAAATATTAAATTATGACTATAATAGAAAATCACATAATTTCAAGTCTACATTAGAGTATAAATCTCTAAAATAAATTAATAAATTTTTCGGAAAATCTTACAAATATAAAAATAAAAATTCTATAGTTTCTTTTTCCTATCATGACACTGAATCGTTCAATAATCATTATAGATCTCATTTAAAATTGTTGTCGCAAAACCGATGTATCGTTTTGCGCTTTAACCGATTAGCCAATTATTAAATCCGAATTATTGACTCAATTAAATCAGGCCAATATAAAATTTTTACCGCACGCTTTTTCGGCGGGGATTGATATGGAAAATTTGCGAACGAGCAACGAGACAAACAAACGTGTGTTGCGACAATACGCAAACGCGTGTAGTCGAAAACGCGGCTTCAATTATATCATAAACGGAATTTGATGCAGCGCATTTTGTTTGAGCATTAAATCGCGCATCGGTCCACGCCAGCCGCTCGTTAAGTAGAATTAAAACCGGAAGCGACACACGTAGAGCACTGTGCAATTTAACGACCATCGATTATCAACGAGAGTTTAAATTGAGCGCGAATACAATTATCCTGGCGGATTTTACAATCTCGTTAGACATATCCTTTTCACTAGGCACGCGGCCGATTTAATTCGCGCAAACATTCGCCGTCGAATAATATCTCTTCTTTGCGCCGATGATCCTCTCGGCGACAATGTTTCGGTGATAAATAAATATCTCTCGGGCCGAAATTTTTCTTTCGATAAAGATAATTATATAACATTTTGTAATAAAATATATAATTTCTATCAAGCAGATTGATATATAATTATATTTTATTTTATTGTAATATTATCATATATATATATTTTAACTTTTAATAAATCAAAAGATACGAAATAAAAACATATAACGCATTATAAATTATTTTCAAAAAGGAGCGATGAGAATTAATATTAATATTTATTATTCAAATAAATTACGATTTATATTTTACAATTCAAATGGAGTTAACATGTTGAAAATAAATCCTGTCTATAGAGAATTATATCAATTAATCGAATCAATCTTGATTCCAGTACTTAAAATAAATATATATATATATATATATTATACAATATATCTCCATAATAAATCTTAAAAATTTATTAGCAAATATTGGCATAAGAAAAAAGAGAGAGCGTATATTTAAGAGAAAATATGATTTTTTAAATAAATTTTATATTTATCGTTATGTGTCTGTGAAAAATCAATGCAGTCGTTTCTAAAGAAAAGGCAAAGGGAAAAGTAAAGAGGGTCAATTGGGTCGAGAAGGGACGAATCCTCTTTCCGTTTGTGGATATTCGAGATGAAGTGGCCGCCCTCCTGGTCGAGGACGAAGACGAACCGTAATCCTGGGGAGTACGTGAGGCGGAAGTCTGATTTCTTAAACAGAACTCCAGGACTCGCGGGGTTTGGATGAAAAATTCACAGAGATTTTATTAGGGTAGCTACCTTGTAAACAGCGATGGACTGTACGTACAATTGACGAGATATAGAGTCGCGAAACGGCCAGAAAAATCGTTAACTCTCCATTGAGTGTTTCTGAAATCAACAGCATAATGTCCGCGAGAAAAATAATAAATATATTCAAAATTG